CGCGTCCGCACCCACCCCCGCATCCCCCGCCGCGCCAGACCCCCGCGCCGCCCTCATGGAGAGCATACGTAGCGGCAACAAACAGCTTAGGGTGAGTTAAGAAATTCTATTTTTTTTATTTTAAAACAGACTATTTTTCTTATTATTTTTTACTACAAGTATTATTTAATTATTGGTTTATAATCCCCAGCATGTGGAGGTCGGCTCCAAGACATCGTTGAACGAAGACAACAGAAGCAATCTGCTGAGCGAAATCAGACGCGGCATCGATTTAAAATCGGTAACAAAACAAATAAATTAATCAATTTATTCACAACTTCTACCCCGACAATGTTCCATAATAGACATAATGACATAATATCTTCTTCCAGGTATCTCGTTCTACAAGCAGCTCGGGCGAGAGGGCGAAGCCCGAAGCCCAAGTGCGTTCGTGCGGCCTGGCCGAAGCACTAGCGCGGGCGCTGGACGAACGTAACCGCGCCATACACTCATCCGACTCTGACGATACCGATGCCGACAGCGACGGCGAGTGGGACCAGTGACGTCACCACAAGGACGCTGTGACGTCACACATTCCGACACTGCATAACATCAGGCGACAATACTGCGTCAGATAACGCCGACACTTATGACGGTATTAGATTTCGACACTTCTTTCGCCGACATCATTGTGTCGGTCTAAAGATTTACAAGTCATAACATTTTTGCCATCGAATCGATACAACCACAAAGTGTTAAAATGTTATTTTATTGTAATTATTGCGTATAAAGGTGCGTACACACTACAATACTTCTTTGTAATTTAATTTTGTATTTTCTTCTTTCTTTTAAAATATAACACTTTTACTTCGATTCACTTGCACATTGTTCAGTGAAGCGAATCATTTATATGTTTATTAGTATCGATTCATTAATTCAACAAATTACGATGTAAACTCATTAGTACGCTATAAGCTGTGACGTCATCGTACTAAAGTATTTTATTCTTCCATGATCCAGTATTGTTCAGCTACTGGATGTTTCGATTCATAGTACTAATGAATGGACCATTCAGATAACACAATATATCGATTGTATTCGATATTATCCTTGCGTGATATATAGGCATAATAATTATAATAAGCTCCCGAAGTGTCATACGTTGTGTACCCTGGGTCGCTCAATTAAAAAAAAATTACTGCCTCTACAGTAGTAAACATTTTTTGTATGAAGAACTCTGACATGTTTGAAACATTACATACTCTATGGTCACTTACGTTCCGTTACGCAACAAATTATTAGTCTTTTTTGAAATATTATTGTTAAGTATTATTAAGTAAATAACAAGGTGCAAAGGTATTTTTTTTATTTTGCAAAATTAGAAAGTACTTCATCAATAGACATTTTAATAGTATTGGTATAATAATTATTTGTAGTATTTAGCATGTTTTTTAATTTTTTAACTGTCAAAGTTCATCATACAAATATTCATGAATATAAATGGTGTAACGTTTTTTTTTATTGTTAGAAAATATATACTTTCATAGTTTTTATACTTATTATTTTTTACTAAATGTGTAAATTAATAGTAGCTTATCATTTATTCATTTAATTTTATAAAACATGAATCATTGCGTAATTTTGATCGGACGCAAATATGATAGAAATAAATAAATGTTATTCATTGTTGTATTTTGAATATACATCTATGTTTTTCAATCTTACTTATTATTTTTCTTCCATGTCATGATCTCTGATAACTTTCATTAGTTTAGGTTTTGTAATTATCTAATGTCTGTTGTTAGCTCATTGTTAAATTTCTCTTTATTTTGCATAAGCTCAGACAATTTTTTAATATTTAAGTTTAATAGAGGTTCGAGTATAAAATGACATATATCTTGTCCGAACTTAAATAATTTATATAAGACCAGTATTTTTATAATTTGGCAATAATTTCACTTTCTTATAATAATTCGATGAACTTTCAAATCACTTTAGTAAGTATGGTAAAATGTGTCTTAACTTCTCGTCTATAAATAAATATATATTTTTATGTATTCATTAGTTTATAAGAAATTTTATTTATATAAAGTTTTTGTATGTAAATCTTTGTAATTCCCATGTAAATGTGTACATAGTTTTTCGGTAGGTTGACGACTGAAGAACGTAATTGTAATATAAATTGTATAGGCCGTTTCAATCGTTTTGGCGGCTCAAGGTCAGTGCGCAGTGCCCTCCCCCGCATCCCGTTACCCCGCTACTCCTGCGCAGCGACTTTTGCGATGTTCTGAGCCGCCAACATGTTTGAATTTAATAACAATTTAATGTTAAGTAGTTGAAGGTTTCATGTTCAAATACTTTTTACTATAGGATGTTATAACGCACGATTCCCCATATACTAACTCAATTCTTCCCGTTTACTATTATGATATTTTTCCAAGTAATAAATTAAGCAATAATCATATTTAAGTTTTTCTTATTGTCACAGATGTAAACAACGATTGAGCGTCTTTTTGTTGTTTCGTTGTAATATTTGAACGTGTGGTCAGGGTCGTTCGCGTATTGGTGTCGTACGGTCGTTTGTTTTACATTTATTCTAAAAATAACAGTAATTAAATTTTACTGTAATTCTCTTTTTAAATGTATTAGGAAAAACACATTTTAGTAATGTTTAGATATTTCCTAGTTAAGATGGCAAAAATTATGCATACATCTAATTCAATAGCTCTGATTCCTGCTCGTAATTATTTATATATTTTTTTAAACATTAGTTCCTATCCAGCCGCCCATAGATATATAGAGACATATTTCCAATGAAATTTTAATCTGTTAGGCAATATTATACAATTTTCATTTTATTCTGTAGATAATGACAAGACAAAACTAAATATGGATAGCAATTGGTATTTAAATGTAAGTTGTTATTTTAACTATTTGACAAACCGATTATTCCTATTGAAATATTATTTTTTACAGAGTTAACCTAAAAAAAAAAATTTAAAATGAACTTTCGATCTAGCTAATACGGGACGACTCTGACTTTGTTACTTCAAACATTTGACTAGACTAAGCTATGATAATATTTAACTTTCAGCAAATATACCTGAATTGTACGTATGTTTGCATTTTAGAGGTATTTAGCAAAACTTTTTTGTATTTTAATCATGAAATATTAAGTGCCAAATCTTTTTACCCGTTGATAATTCCGTAACGCCATTGTTCTGTATAAATTTGTTAAACTTTATGAAAATTAGAATCCTCTGCATTTTGCAATCTTGATATAAATATTCTGTTAGATATAAACTAGACGCTTCGAAATATTTGAATGTTTTTGTTTTTTTTTGTCTATAGTATATCTATATACCTAAGTGATATGATTTTCTAGAAAATTAAATATCTCTAAAATCTAAACATACAACGAAAGGCGCCATTGTTGGTAATAATAATAAACAAAGCTGCGTCTGTGATGTGGTGCAAGCTACCGCTCGCGAGGCGGTCTGTATGTAACGTAGCGTAAATCTTTGTACATTGTAAAATGACGCATAGCTATTTTTATAATGTTCGAGTAAAGTTTATGTTTTGTATTTAATCTTGTGTGCGAGGTTGTGCAGGCTTACGAGACTAACCGATTGTAACCACCTCTACACTATGTTGAATAAATAATAATTAATTACGTTATGTATTTTATTTCTTGCACCATTTAATTTTATAAAACGTGAATCATATTACCTCTTCCATTTTATACATCAACTAGTTATGTTCGGGTGATTTGATAAGTGGCTTGTACAATACTAGCAGTTCTGCATAGCTCTGCTCTAAAAAAGTCAAGCATGTTCGCGGTATTCCACTTAAGAGAAACTCCTTCTCTTCTTACACATACTAAATAAGGAAGCAATGAGTTGTGCAAACAATAGGATAATAGTAAAAGTTCAGTCCTACTTATTTTTTCCATGTCCTCGTCTCAATGAGGGAATGTTCAAAAGACTGTCGTTTTAAAGTTGAATACCGCCAGATCTCTATATAGTACCTACATCAAAAAATATTTTTAAATAATAAGGAATAAAAAAGCACTTTATAATTTGCATTTATTTAAGAACTAAACAATTATTTTACATTTTCATTACTGATTTGAACTAAATCATAAATACCATCACAAGACTTAATTAAAAGCAAAACAATCGACTTTTAACTTAATACAGCGACGGTATTACCAAAATTTAGCCGATTAAAAGTACTTAAGTACTTTCTTGTCAACAAAGAATTTAAAATATTTTAAATTCAACTTATTGTAAAAATCACAGAAGCAATCATATTTTGATAGGACTTGTAACAAATCATTTCAATTTACGATGACTTTACTATTACTTTGGTAATTTACTCCAGAGCCTAATTTTAGTCCCCTTTCCCTTCCCACCCTCTTTCTTATAAGGAAAGGATGGGAAGTGGATGTGGATTTCCCGGATGAGGTGATGCATGAGAAGGGAAAATATTCTCTTTCTATGCATCCCCTCCACCGTCGATTAAAGGTAAGCAACGCGCTGGCAATTGTCGCTTTGGCAACGGTCGCTTAGTAATTTCAGCGATTTCATGTGAACGAGCTCTCGTTTGCCACCTTATGGTACAAAAAAAATTGGAATGATTAACAAAATAAAGCAAGTACCACATTTTAAGATTTTAAACAATTAAAATTATATATTTCTACACGTACTCTACAAGAAAGACAAAATTATTTTACATAATATAGCTAATTTTAAAAATAAGATTTGAGGATTGTATCTCCTCAGTCATTAGTATGTATAGATTTCTCTTATTTTAACATAACTTACGAGTAAAATTTGTATATTTTACAGTACAAAATACAATTCTGTTAAAGTCCCACTTCAATGTCCACACTTTTTGATACTCTTTGTTCATATCAAGTTTTTATAGCAGCCACTAATCAATCAATTTATATGCCATACTCATAGTTGGTTGCTGAAATCTAAATCTTTCTACAAACCATATTGTTGTCTGTTTTGTGAAATATAATGACGATATATAATTTATACAGGGATTTTGGTCTCAAAAACCAACGACCAATGAGTTTTAAGGATACCCCTAGTGGAGGTTTAGTATGAAGTCAGCTAGTGACCGTGACTCTGAGAGCGGAAAGTGTAATTTAATGTTTAACTAAAAAGATCTTACTATTATTCGATGGGTTTAAATTTATAACTATTGTTTATATTTTTTTTAGGTACTAATAAACCTGAATATCATTCGGTTGTTGCAATTATAAAAAATGTAAAAATATTTCAGTGTTGTTATAAAAAAAATTATGTTTATAGATAGAGTAAACGTAATTTTTTTTTAAACGCAGAAATAAATTCACTTTTGATATAACCGTGTCTACACGGTTATATCAAAAGTGAATTTATTTTCTGCGTATTTTCTTTCAGACACATTGTCACAGTTTTATACCACTAAATAAATTATAATGAGGTTATGTCGCCTCATAAAAGGCTAACAAATTTATTTAAATTACAATATGGCAGCCCGATAGCTGGTAAATTATAAATTCACAAAAAAAAAACTTACAACTAAACTAAAACACAAAAGCCTATGTTTCATGCCCTTAAATTATATGTACACAATTTAAAAACGTCTAATTTTTATATAAATTGAAAATTCTATTTTAAACATTATAGAAACAAAATTATAAAGTACATAATGCGATCAGTGTCCATTTTTAATTCACAAAATAACTGAGCGGCACCATAAGAGTATTTTTTCGTAAACAAATCTATTTTAGTACAGTTGCCATGACTTTTAGCAAAAATGATTGACAAAATAAAAAAGAAAAAGAACATGATTTGAAAACATAATATCACTTAAATGGATAAAAATTAGAAATGATAATTCTTATACATGCTACGACTAAACTAATTATATAATAATTTATAAGATCTGTATGGCTTAAACATATTCAACTTGCATATCCTATGCAATAAACATATACATTTATATCAATAATAACAATTTTCACTGCACACTTTAGCAAAGTATCGAAAATCTTTTTCAATTGTCAGTTATAAGTAGAGAATTCTTCAGTTTTATTAGCCGTTTAATTTGGTCAATGAAAACCGATCCTTAAATATATATATATATATATATAATATCAGTTCCACATCAACGTTAGGTAATTAGTTAGTTTAAATCAGTCATCTATTGTTATGATGTTTACAACATCTTCACCATCGAGGCTGTTGTCGTCCACCAAGTCGACAACATTGTTTGGCATCTCTTCTTCCTTTTGCTGGTAAAGCGACAGAACTTCTGATATAATGGGCGCGTGGACCATTTGGTGAATATTCATATCCGTGGAATTTTGACTCTCCTCATCCTGTGTCATGTAATCATTGTGTTCAATCAAATTCGGCTCCACAGCCCCCTCGTCTTCATCGTCGCTGTGCCCGTAGAATTTCTCGTCGTCTTTTTCGTCCTTGGGCGTGTAAGAATTAATGAGAGCCACGAGGTTCTCATCACAGGTGAACACTTTCGATGGGTCGGAATCCTCTTTGTCGCATTGGTGCAGTGAGAACACCTTGGACGAGGTGAAATATTTGCGGCACTGCTGGCACTGGTTCTGGAGATGAGCGCGGTAGTGTTTGTGCAAATTGGGGAAGAGGTCGCCGCAGACTACGCATGGCTCCGGGCGCACCATGGCGCGGTAGTGCAACTTCTGCTTCGATTTGTGGCCCGCCCTCATGTGCCGTATGAAGGGCCCGTAGCGCACGAACTTCTCGCCGCACTGCCGACATTTTATCGGCTTCTTGTTGTACTTCCTGCTGCGGTGGGAGAACGCGTGAATGTTGAACGCGTCGATAGTTTTAAACTTGAGATGGCAGAAGCGGCACGAGATGGAGCCGGACACCTTGTGGATGTGGTCGTGCAGTCGCTGTGAGTTCTTCTTCGTTGTGGGCTTGAAGCAAAACGCGCACTCCTCGTATTTAGGTGTGAGTGTGAGATCGCTCTCGTGCTTATCGTCGACCTCTTCTTCGCTGTCGATCGCACACAGGTGATTGTCATACTCGATCTGAGAGTAGAAATACTCTGAGCATTTTTTACATCTATTCTCTTCATGGTATGCCAAATGTTTGTGGAGGTTGAAGAATATTTTGTTGCAAATATGGCACTTTTCTTCTATCGACTCCTTGGGCATTACGGTCCATTCCTTATCGTCCCCATGGACGTCCTTCATGTGGTATATAAACTCTCTAAATGCGACAAAAGTCTCGTCGCAATGCTCGCACTTTGTCGGGTTGTCGACGTTTAGTTGCGCAAGATGGTGGTTCTTATGTTTCTTGAACAGCGTCAGTGTGTTAAACTTGCGGTTGCAGTACAGGCAGCCGTAGAAGCCAACGGTGCGATGATAGATCTTATGAGTACTCAAGGCATACTCATTCTCGAATACTTTAAAGCAATAATCGCAAACAAAATCCTTTTTACCTTCAGTCACTTCTTTACAAACTTTAATATTGTGCTGAGTCCTGAGATGACAGTCCAATTTAACTTGAAGATGAAATGCTTTGTAACATATATGGCACTTCACTTTCCGGGGGTGCACCTCCGTGTCGCCGACGAGTTTCTTCTTGTCGCAGCTGAAGGCGAGATGCCCCTCCAAGAACCTGAGGGAGCTGAAATAGTCGAAGCAGTAGTTGCACCTCAGTGAGTTGTGGTAATCGATGTGCCGCTCGAAGTTGCCTTTGCTCGCGAGTATCTTAAGGCAGATGGAGCACTGGAACTCTTTGAGAGGTCCATTGAGCGTCTTCTCGGTGCGCTCCGCTATCCAAGTCTCGTTGATGTCGTGCGCGTCGCGCAAGTGGTAGTGCAGGTCGTAGCCTCGCGTGAAAGATTCCTCGCAATGCGTGCACTTGAGGGGCTCTTCTAAATATTTTTGTGACAAGTGAGCTTTAATGTGTACCCGGTGATTTTTCAGCGACATGGTCTTCTTGCCGCAGAACTTGCATATAAAGAACTCCGGCTTCCTCAAGTGAGCCTCCTCGTGGTGTTGCAGCCTGCGCTCGTCTAGGAATACTTTGGCGCACAGTTTACACGAGAAGTAGCTCTGCTGAGGCGCGTCCGGATCCTCCTTTATCATTTTGCTCTCAGGATGCGTCCGCCGCAGATGGCGAATGAGTTTCACGAGATCGGGATAGTATCGGTTACAGATTGGGCACTTTACTTTGTCCTTCCTGAGCTTTGCTATCCTCGCCTGGTGCGATTGATGGTCAAAGTTGTGCCCCTTCACGTGTTTCCTGTGATATACTTCGTCGATGAATCCTTTCCCGCATATCGTACATTTGTAAGGGCCATTATCGTCCTCGTAATGAGATCGGACGTGCAGCTCCAGCGTTCTCTTATTGGTGAACATAATGCCGCAAATGTTGCACTCATGGCGGGCGCCGAAGAGCGAGGTCTTCGACTTGTGCCATATCACATGGTGCTTGAGGGAGACTTCGGAGTCGCACACCTTGCCGCAATGTTGGCAAGTGTGCGCGGCGACGGCCACGCGGCCGGCTGCCAGCTCGACACCGACCACTGTGTTGTTGGCGCTCTCACCGCGCTTGTAGTGTATCGCCATGTGAGAAAGATATACCTTCCGGAACTGAAAGACTCTCTTGCAGATGGAGCACTGGTAGTCTTTGTTCTTGAAGCGCGTCTGTTTGTGGAAATTCATGTGTGCCTGCGCGGCGCGGAGGTGCTTGCTCTTGCGGTTGCAGATGGTGCAGGTAAGCAGCGCTGGGTCCAGGTTCGTGTCCTTGTAGTGTTCTCGCATATGCAGCCGGTAGTGGCACTGGAACCGGAATACCTGGAGAACATAAAACAATTATATATTTGAAGGTCAGATAGCAATTGATACTTGAACAATAACAGATGCTATATGCTCACCTCTTTACAGACGAAACACTCCACCTTCTTTTCAATGTTGTTACCGACATTAGAATGCCAGTTGATGTGCCTCTTTAGTGATACCAAGGTGGGCATCTGCTTGCCGCATGTGGGGCATGTGAAGCCGGACAGATTGACTAGTGGCGAGGACTCGTCAGTAGACGGAACCGTCACAAGGTCGTCGCGGCCCTGGCCCGTTGCCAGAGGTTCCGTCTTGGTCACGACGACCTCACAAAAATCCGCCAACTCGGCGCGCTGCAGCTTGGGTGCTTGCGGTTGCTTCAGCCGGTGCACCAACTTAATGTGAGTAGCCAGTGAGCTGCAGCTCTTAAACTTTTCGTTGCATTCCGCACATGTGTACAAGTTACGAGGCTTTATGTTAACAGTTGTGTGTTTCTGGTTGTGCTCATTGATTGCGCTAACTTTCATTTCTATGTCACAGATAAGACACTTCACACTGCAGTCTTTGAGGGTGATCTTGGCTCGCTTTGTGCCTGAGCTCATGTTGTGTTTGGTCTTCTTGTGCTGAATCAAGAGACGTTTGTAAGAAAATTGCTTCTCACAAATATCGCATGTATTGTCGTCATCCTCTTCTTGACTAGATTCTGACTCGGACTGACGATAGGACTCGCTCAACAAACTGGTGTCCTTCTCCTCTGATTCTTGTTTTATTTCTAATTCTCCATCCAAGTGCTTCTGCTCGTGTGTGACCAGGGCTTTCTTGTAGGTGAATCGTTTCTCACACATGCTACACTTCAGAGGTCCAGAAGATACATGAGTATTTGTGTAGTTTGTTAAATCTGATTCATCGTCTATAGGACTTTGACTGTAATTAAAATATTATAATTAATAATTAATAGATTATAAAACCACAAACATTTAGCTCATGTTCAATTTATTGTAAAATTTAGTAATTTTCTTTTGAAATTTTGGTCTAACAGAAAATTAAACTTTTAAAATAATGATAGGATATGGTCAATTAAGTATGTATAATTCACGAAACAAGACAGAACTTTTATAAAAACATGAAGGTTTCATTTAACACTTATAGTGCTTCAAACCCAACATACCATGTATTGACTTCAGCCATTTCCTCTTCACCCATGTTGGACATATGCCCTGCCAGATGACTTATGAGCTGGTTCTGGGTCCCCATCTTCTTGCTACATATGCGACATTCAAATGATCCTTCTATAGATTTTTCCTCACTTTTGCTTTGTTCCCCGCTAACAGACAAATGCATATTTTTTATATGAAGGAAAAAAGTGCTCTCTTTAGACAAAACTTTGCGACAGATTGGACAAGTGAAAATAATAACATCGCGCTTCTCTGAACATGTATCAAAGTGTTCAATGTAAACATTATAGTCGTCGAATGGTTGCGAGCAAAAGTAACAAGGTACTCCGTTTGCACCGTTTTCAACTATTTCGTCATATTTATCGCGTTTTAAAACAGCCGCATGTACTACTCTCATATGTTTCTCCAGGTTCTCAATACTTTTAAATTTGCTTGAGCACATTTCACATTCAATCTTATTTTGCGGGGAGTCAGCATCAATTGGCTCCAGAGAAACTTGCAACTCTTTAATTAGTGACTTCGATAGTATTTTTCCGCATGTCTCTTGGTGGCGTTTTAACATTATTTTCAATTTAAATTTCTTGTTACATTTCTCACACTCTATCCTATCTTCAATATCATTTGCATTCTCCACTTTGTTCTCAACTGGTTGCGGTATATTTACTATAACATTCTTGTAACCTTTCCTTAAATGAACTTTGGAATGAGCAGACACAGACTTTTGTGAGGCGAATTCTTTGCCACATACTTTGCATTTGAATTCGTTTTTTGATGGTTCATCGGAGTCAGTTTCGACGGAACATTGGGATGCACTATTGTCTTCATAGTCGGAGTTTGCATAAGAAGAGTTAAGAGTTCTTTTTGGCCTTTTATCTGTGGCCCGAAGTTCTGTCACTCGTTTGGTTGAGGTGGGTCGGTAGTCATAGGATTGTCCACTGGATGACGTATTGTCAACACTTTCTGCACTGCGTTTTCTGCTCCGGCTGGCAGGAGAGACTTTTGTTTCTATCGGTGATGTTGTAGCCTGAGTCTTAATAGACACATCGGTGTTGTTGGAGAATGCAGAGTCACTGCTCTGCCGGTTTGAGGGTGAAGGTACAGCACTGAAACCTGATAAGTATATAAGGTAAATTAATGTATTGATTGCATTCATAGCATTTGGGAGAGTTTCTTAATAGTCCTTAAAAGTACAAGATAACCAATTCTCTCTATGGAAAGTTTATCTAATTATAAATACCGTAGTTGCTCAGGAGTTGACTTTCATGTATCACACAGAAAAACCAAAAGTATTGCATTATGGAGCATATTAATCAACAAAACATACATTAAACAGAATATTTACCAGGTGGAGGAACATAATTCCGTCGCAACTCCTGATCCGATCTTTCACACTGCAGCTTGAATATGTGTGCACTGCTAAGCTTCTGAATACACTCTGAACATATCATGTCTGGTAGTCCATCTCCTTCATATATCTTTAAATAACAAAAGTATTTTCTTAGTGGAGAGTCCATCTCCATTACCTTTTGGCGGCTTAGACAGCATAGAAAGCTGCTTCTGAGCATATTGCACAATAAGGATTACAGTAACTATAGTTTTATCAGTAATATCAGGATAACATTGCCAAATACTTATGATCCTTTTTGCATTCATTTTACCCTACCTATTTGTATAATATAGGCTAAGATAAAAGACTAATTATAATATAGATTATTGTTGTTATAGTTAATGAAAAAGTATTTTTAAGTGTTAAGTGGCAATTGGAAAACATTACCGCTAATCATAGAAGACAATTAATAGATTTTACCTTTACTCGAGCGCATTCCATAACCATCTCCGCGAGCTGTAGGTTGTTATCCATCGTAAAGATGGAATAAAAGTCACCGAGTTTGAGGCAGAGCCTACATTTTCCAAGCTTGAGGGCCATATTGATTTCTTTACACCAATCTTCATGACACTACAAAATCGCATCTGCGAAGTAATGTGTTGTTACACGTCCATAAGTATGAATACTGATCAACATTATTACTACCTAAACCACGCAAATCCATATTTACCTTTCACGTGGTAAATTAATACAAGATAAAAGTACCTGGCTAGCCGGCATACGCCATTATTGGTTGTTATTGGTCTGGTTTGGTATATTTTTTGGTACAATTACTGGTATACCGTATCGTGACCAGTGTGACCAGATTTAAATTTAACATTCTGCTAGTTACTCGTTTAAATTCTGCAAGTTTGGTTCATTCTGTGTGAAATTAATTATAGTCTTCAAATGACCTGATTCTGCTCCACTTCCAATATAACTTGTCAATGTAGACACACACACACAAACGCATAAACATTTAAACATGGCTTACATTTTCATATATTTGTTATTTTATATTTTATTATTAAGCATTTTGTGTTGTAAACTTAACTTTAATTATTTGTAGTAGTGGAAAAATATATAAAGTCATTTATTTGCTCAACAATCTGCTGAGCCTTAAGTTGGGGATCTATTTCTGCTAAAATAGTAGAATTCTGCTAAATTTTGTCACACTGACCGTGTTAGAGTTTTGAAAACTGGTTACATTGCCACAATATCACTGACTGACTTTATGGATATGAACAGGCTATCAACTGCAGTGTTTTATTCCTTTTTGATTCTCGCCATTTTGGCGCTGATGGTTGAGGATGATGGCGGTGGTAAGGATTGAAGCTATCATTAGAGATAGAATTAACTGTAAGGTAATCCACAGGCGCATTTAAGTAAGAACGATGCTAAAACAGTCATTTCCAAGCAATGACCTATCCATTTATGGTGTTATCAGTGCACAATATTGATATTTGTTGATATTGAGCGATATCAAACATAATATAGGTAGTAATATTGTGCCCTTACTATATCTTTGTTTTTTCGAATGCGCCGATAGTCTGCGCCGCAGAAGTTACTACGCAAAAGGTAATAAGCAGAATTTTCGAAAATGGAGGAAAATGAGGGAGACTATGTGAATTACGCCCGACAACTTTCGTCAAGTGGTAATCTTAGCAAATCCTTCGATTTATACATTTCGGTTTTCGAAAAGAACCCCCGAATTAAAAATATGTATGAACCGGAATTCCAGATCGTTATGATGCGGTACAATGAAACGTTGTCAGCAGCTGGGAAGATTGAAGACATATTTACTAATTTTAGCCGCGCTATAAGAATTTTCCCGAAAAACGTATACCTGTTGAATGAGATTGGCAAATATTTGTATAAGTTCGGCTATTACGAAGAGGCTTGGTCTCACTTCCAGAAAGCTCTAAGGGCGAACTCCGGTTTTGTGAATGCGGAAAAAAATTTGAATTCTGTGAAAAATTTACTCGTTGAAAGATGGCATTTTCGAATGTTAAATGATAAAAAACGGAATGAACTCTTTAGGGCCGCTATTCATGAGATGGTTAAGTTAGGCAAAGATGGTGTGATTGATGTCGGAACTGGGACAGGCTTGCTGGCGTTGTTTGCTCGAGAATGCCAGCCGCTGACCGTCACCGGATGTGACGGCTCCAGTGTTATGACTAAAATAGCAGAGAGTATACTACAAGACTATGAGATAAATGATATAGCCATTGTGAACAAGATGTCTACAGCCATGGATTACAAAGAGATAGGTTCCAAATGCACTATCCTAGTGACTGAAATGTTTGATGCTGGCTTATTTGGGGAACATGTGTTGCAAACATTATTGCATGCTTGGAATTACTTAATAGACGCTGGAGGAAAAGTAATTCCAGGCAGAGTGGAGTTCTTTGTGGCAGGAGTAAATTGCAACTATCTTAATTTAAAATATCAGCTGGGACAAGGCATCAAAACCGTATTGAATATCCCCACAGCAAATGTTCACATGATGTCTTATGATGAAACATATGATTGTGAGGATGTGCATTCGTTCAAAGATTTAAAATATATAACTGAAGAGCATTCTCTCATCAAAATAGACTTCAATAATTATGAAGATATTCAAGAGAAGTTGTATCAAAGTAAACCATTTAATATTGACTTAATTGCCACTCAAGATGGTGAAATAAATTGTCTGATTGGTTGGTTTAAGTTGTATTTAACAGATAATGTTACAATAACAACAGATCCCCGTTCTGAAGATCGGTGCAATGCTTGGCAGCAGGCTGTTTTCTATGATACCATACCAAAAGTAGTTAAAAAGAATGACAAGTATAGTGCACAATTTTTGATGAACACTGGAAAGCTGACTATGATTCCCAATTGTAATATAAACATTGACATGATATCTCAAGAAGCGTTGAGATTTTTAAATGATTCTGAATATGTGAAAACGATTCTTGGATGCGTTGGCATGGCTTGTGTCTACCTCGGACAAATGATTGAGATGTCCGAGATTGCTGTTATTGATTTATGCCCATTCCCTTTGTTTGGAGTGCAAATGATGAAAAGAGGTGCCAAGTCCCTGGTCTGCACTGCTAGAACTTATAATGATGAAGTTTTCATACTTAAGATTTTACAAGCCTATAATATTGACATGTCCAAAATAACAATACTAGTGGGAGATGTGTGGAATTTGGATTCTTTCAGTAATAAAACATTCCAGGCTATATTTTGCCATCCTTTCGAGTTATGTGGGGATATTGATTTGAGACTAAAAGATATAGCTCATGAATTGAAGACATCCCATTTGGCACCAGGAGGTCTTTACATGCCGGCCAACATTAGCATCATATGCCAGCTGGTTGATAGTCACTGGCTAGATATTAACAACAGAGTTTATGATGAAAATACAATTGGTTACAAAGTGGCAGGATACATGAATGTGTATCAAGTATCTCAGAACTTCAGTATTGACATGTCACGTTTGGAATACACTCCTATGACTAATCCTATATGCGTGGGTGAGTGCTCAAATGAGTTGCGATCTTTTGTGATCAATACACCTATCATCAGGGATGGCTTAACAAATGCCATTCTGTGTTGGTATAAAATTGAATTGATGGAAGACATAGACGAAATAGCCACAAATAGATCTGATGGCTTTGTAGACAGTATAGCATTCCTTGCTGATCCTAAAGTACCGATGAAGAAAGGAGATATTGCGAATGTACTGCTCTGCGTTGATCCTGACGGTGGTTTTAAAGTAATTGTTGATGTTGATAATTAATGCTTATAAGCTGAACAACATACATATATTTATGAATCTTTTTGTATTAGCTATTAGGTATAAATGATAAGATTTTTATTATTTATCAAACTAAGCAGGAATGTTTAGTGAAGGTTACCTCATTGCAGTAGTTTTTATTTATATTATCCAAAAGACATACACTGCTGATCATAGATCTCATTTAATAATTTTTAAAACGCCTCTAGCTCATATTAGTACCTTTTTTTGTTAGTAAAAATATTTTTTCGACCTTAACTAGTCATAATAAATTAAGTACATATATGTATACTGAGTTAATGTTGAAATATTGTTGTTTTTGTTAGACATGCCAAATGAAATGTAAAATATTTTTTCGTTACTATTTGAAACAGCTAATGTTTTATATTTTTAGTTTAAAAATGAACTCTGAGTTTGGTCATAAATGTAGATGTAAGTGTTAATTGTTTTAAAACACAGTTTAATAACTTTATTTCGTGATAATTTTTCATTTTTATGAAATATTTTTATTATTTTATGATTTTTGTCGCGTTTATTATATTGATATCAACGTTGCTGGCGATGTATACTTATTCTATGCTAAGAATTACATTTTATTGTGTCGTAGTAAAAAGCGTCGTAGCTTGTAGATCGTCAAATTGTTGTGACCCGGTGGGTATATGTCACCATATTATATTACAATAGCACACTAGGGCCACTCTGTAACTATGATAAAAGTGTCACTCCTTGTTCTATGTGTCATTTTCTAAGTCTATAAAACTAATCTGATTGGATGAGGATTGTACTTCACTTGGTTCACCAGATCAGACAAGTTTGTAGCACTATACCTTAATATATTAATAATTAATGATATATGTAGTTGCATCTGTGTGCTATACTATATCTATATAAATAAATATGTTCTTTAGCTATGATGCTTTGTATGTGCTTGTGAACACACCATCAAAATTTATTGAAATACATGTTTAATAACTTGCATCGATGTATTAAAATATTGTAAGCCAAAACCTTTCGGTGTTAGACTCAATGTAATGTTTTTGAAATAAAGTGGATTAAAAAATAAAATAGTTTATTTTTTACCAAACTAACGCTAGGAGTTTTATATATGTCTGTTGAATTGCGATCAAAAAACGCTGGAATCAGCTTTTAAGACTAATTCATTTACTTCTTCGAAGTCTCTTTAGAGTGCAAACATAATTTCATAGGTTTTTTTTAAATACCTAGTAGCTTGGAGTTTTGTTTTGATAATTTGTGTCCAAAAAAACTTCAATGAATGTCTTATTTCTTTATTAATATTAAATACATATCTGTCAATGTCCTCTCATTGTAATTTTTTACTAACCATACGTTTCAAAGCCCAAAATTTCCGTTTAAAACATATTGTTATCTCTGTTTAGTCAAAGATAATGAAAGGGATGAGGACATGTTTTATACAGAGATTTTGGCCTCGTAATCCAATTGCATACAAAAATATATTTAAATTTATGTTCTCTTCCATGAGAAATAAGCTCAACACTCACGCAAAGTTACAACTTAATTATCTATAATATTATTTATTTAGCAATTCAAATAATAAACTAACTGAATACCATAAACAAAAAACTTAGATATATGAACAAAACTGAATAATTATTAATTTAACATTGTATTAAAATTAATCGGCGTTGTTGCAAAAAACAAATCTTGTTCCTAAACAAGAACAAATATATTAAATAGAAATATTTTTTTTACATTTCCTTACACAATCTTGGATAAGTTTGTTGGAAATTTACCTACAGAACGCGTTGTTAATCTTCTCAAAGGACTTTCAAACTTGTCTATTTTCACATTTCCTTTAGAGGTGTCAGAGATTATGAATTTCTATTTCGCAAGTGCTAAAAGCAGATTTTCATTTGAAATGGTCGCGCAGTTCTTACTTTTCTAATTAAAGAACATGGTCAATAGATGTTAATCAAAGGCCAAGGTACCCGTTTCTTCAAAAGCCTAATAATTTGATATTTTTAAATATTTACAACTGAATCGATATTTTGAATCCGATTCATCAATTGAATTGGACACGCCTTTTTTCACGTGAACATCGATATTTGTTATACGATTATATTTTAATCGAATAAACAATAATGTCTTCAGTTGTAGTCGTATGCTAACGAATGTGAGTTTTGCGTCGCCTGATTTGATGTCATTCAGCCGCGTGCGCCTCGGACAAAATGCTGCGTGCTTGCTCCAGTGCTTTCCTGTTGGTAAAAACATTATGTTTAGTTCATCTCACCCTCAACATGATTCTTATATTAAACCACAAATATTAAGTATTATAATATAAGTCTTGTTACATTTTTTATTAAACATGAACTTGAAAGTAATATTAATTTAGTATTTTTAGAAGCCTTGTTGGCTTATAGATATGACAAACCGTGAGTTTCTGAGACCAAAACCGTTTAAAACATATTGTTTTCTCTGATGTTTTAAAAAACGGCCTGGGATAATGATATGTTTTACAGATAGATTTTGGTGTCGGTAACTCACTCAATATGTGTTTTAATTAGATCGTTATTGTTACTTCATTTAGTATTTCTTATTTCTAGAAAGGGAGGGAGGTAGTTATGATATGATATGTAGACATACATATGCACAGGGTTGTCAGATTGGAGTCGCGTGAGGGCGAGCTGTGCAAGTCGGGCGAGGCGGCGGAGTGCGTGCGTGCGCAGTGGCCCGGAGCGCGGCAATGTGTCCGCCAGCGCCGCGCCCGCAGCCGCCGCCTGCACGCCCGGCGCCGCACCCGCCGCACAGCACAGTGTCTCTGTGTACACAATATTGAGTTACTGTAGTATAAAAATTATAAACTATACTTGAGTAATTATCAAAATTTAAAAAACCTTTTAAATTTCTGTTATATATATCTAATCTATACCAGTGCGTGTGTAGCAAAGCAGAGATATAATTTACCAATGAGAGAGAGGACGAGGGCGTCCGCATTCAGCGTGGGCGGGGGCGCAGAGAGCGCGAGGGCGGCACGCAGCAACCGCACGCCCGCGCCCACGCAGCGTCGCCAAAACGCACCGCCAGCGCCCTCCAACACGCTGCAACGTACAATTCCCTTTTAATTTGAAATAGCTAAAATTTTTTTTAATACTTTTAAAATTTAAACTAACTCTTATTTATAATATTTATGTATATGTGATACTGACTGGGGCGGCAGCGCGGGCAGGAAGACGTCAGCATGCAGCGCGGCAGCGAGGCGGGCGCGCGCAGCTGTGGCCAGCCGACGCAGTGCGGGTCCGCCCGGCAGCGCGCACGCACGCTCCAGCACGCGCCGCAATCGCACACACGCGCGCACGCACATCGGGTCCCACGCCTGCTCCACCAACTCTGCAATACACGATACAACTTAAATATACATTTTATGCAAACTTACGAGTCATTTTTACGTCATTTTCTTTTCATTTTGACACGCGCCTTATCGGCTAGCAATTACCATACAAATTTTACAAGAATTTTTTCATATTTATCTACTTCTATCAGCTGATGATTAAACACACCTGTGACCTTAGGCAGCACAACCTTGTTGATGAGTGTTGGTACGAGCAGCAGGTCGGGGTCATCGCGAAGCGCCGCCTCGCTCAGACCAGCTCCCAAGACCGTTCCCGGCCCCGCCTCCTCCTCGGACGACAGCTCCGAGTCGCTCGACAGCCGCTCCGCTCGCACGCCGTACATCATCAGGCATCTGGCTCAATTATATATTAGTTGTATTTCTTTCAATTAACGTCTTCCTCTTTATAAATTAAACAAGTATAAATAAAATAAAAATGCTCACTTGTACCAGTCCATCTTTTCATAATCTTCATTGTCTTCATCCGCCAACGGGTTCCACAAGATCAACTGCAATATTTTATTAATTAGCAACATTACTCGAAACGCAAATCCCAACTCCAAATATGCAAAGTTTCATGTGAGATGGTTACCTCGTGCCGGATGTACGGTGCGAGCAGTCTGGGCAGACAGTCAGCGACGTACGCGTCGTTGTAGAGCGCGGGCTGAGAACGTCGCCAGCGCGACACACGCGCGCATACGCCGCGTACGCTGCGCCAAGCCGGCAGCGCGTCTGCGAACACCTGCGACGACAGCTGACGGATCGCTTCTGTAAACACGAATTATACCACCGTAAGGTAATTGTCGAACAGAAGCCACGCCCCTTTCTATTATTCAAGTGTCGGAATGACACTAGTACTGGTATAGAACATACCGATCTCCAGTGTGAAGTGCTGCTGCTCAGTAGGAGGCAGGTCATCGTCGCTGGAGTCGCCGTCGCGGTGTGCTGGCACGCCCGCCCCCGCTGCCGCCGCGACCGCCTCGCGCCGCATCCTTCGAGCGCGTCTCCGCCCCTCGCGCTCCGCCGCACGTCGCGTCTTCTCCTCACTGTCTACTGGCTTCGCTACACCTGGACGGGCTGTAACAATGGATATTATGCTATCTTTAAATGTTTACTTGTATTTATTAGGTAGGCAAAAATATGGAGAATAAATAATGTACCTGCGAGCGCGAGAACATCTTGCGCTTGGTCGCGCACGTCAGCGCGCCGGCGCTCCACGAGGAACTCGCAGCGGCGGCGGTGCAGTTGCAGCGCGCGCGCTTCTAAGGCCTCCAGCTGTGGCATCTGCATCACACACAAAGCATTATATCACACATATATTTGAGTCATTTATTGTTGTCACAATCTTGACGGCTTTAAGATTAACTTCAAATAATATATTTGTTCATACATTTTTATACATTTTCGTTAGATCTGTTCTAACAGTTGTAAGAAGCTTCACGGTGAACTTGGCTTTGGCTTTTATCTTTATCTTTTAAGCTTTTATCTTGCCCCAAGTCGCTGTACAGACCACAATGTTAGGTATGTTGGGGTGTAGCGAAATGCGGGGAGAGGACAGCGCACAGATGACCTTGAGTCGCCAAGATATTTGAAAAGACATACCTTTTCATCGAGACACTCGACAAGGTCAGTGATGTAGCCGCGAGCTGCCTGCGCGCGGCGGTAGGCGGCGTCAAGATGGTTGCGGCGCGCGGCTCGCGACTCCCGCATACGCGCCGCAAGCAACAGTCGCGTCCGCACCTCCTCCCGCTTGCTCGCTGTCACCGACCTCTCCGCCTGCAGCTCCTCTAACCTGATACACAAGCACACCATTTTAAACAACGTTATATGTGGTTTTACCTACTAAACCCCTTGTTTGCCATCCTCTAGTGTCACTGGCTCCGGGATCTCTAGTAGATCACAGCAAAGTTTTTCCTGAATTAAATGTTGCTCTTGCTATCTGGTAAGACTTTTTTATAAGCAAATATATTTTGAATTGATGGTAACAATTAATATATTTATTCTTTGTCGCTTAATATCAAAATAAAAAAAACTACTAATAAAATAAAGAAGTGCATATATAACAATAGTTACCTCGATGTGAGTGCTTCAAGTAGTTGTTGTGCGGTGGTGGGCGCGGTCTTGTCAGCTGTGAGCAATGTGCGCAGATGTGACGTGTCAGACACCTGGGGTGCGGGAGGCAGCACTGCGAACGGGTTCAGCTCCGTATTGCCATCACCTGGTGAATACAGGATGTTTAAAACAGATGTATCGTAACACGGGATCAATTGAAATTACAAGATGAATCGTATTAATATTATAAATGTGAATGTTTAGATGTATGGATGGATGTTTGTTTGTTAGAAGGTATCTTCGGAATGACTGCATGGATTATGCTGAAATATGGCATAGATGTATAAATATAGTCTGGAAAAACTCATAGACTAATATATACCTTTTTTAATTTATATATCTTTTAACCGAACAACAACGATTATGTAAGACATATAAATATTATGTACAAAAGACGAACTTACCAGTAATATCAATATTAGCGGGCATTGCTTTCTGTATTTGCTGTTTCTCCCATTCCTCTGCTTCGCTGTCCAGCTCCTCTTCAGAAGCAGCGGCAGTGCCACCTGGTGGTGACAAAAGTAGCTCTGTATTTTCTGACGTTATACGAAACGCAGACCTTTTTGGAACATATTTTAAAGTAACATCACATTGGCAATTCTGCATTTTCAAGTTAACTAAAATTACAACTTTCACAAATAAATGTAACACTTACGTTTAGGTTTATCACTAGGTAGGACCAGTCCGCAGACTTCTATCCTGCCATCCTCGTCATCATCGTCTCCTGAGCCGTCGTCTCGTATGAGCCGCGAGCCCGGCGCCGCCTCCGATCTGATGGGAACGAAGTCGCCAAGCTCGCGAGCCTGCAATCACAAGTTTTATAGTGAAATTGACTTACTCAATATATTTAAATGGTATGACCCACACAAACATACATACAATTCTAACCCTTCAATTAAATAATATAGCTATTTAATCCCAAATCAGAATTATTTAGATTTCTACTCATATAACTTGTACAATATTTGTATCATATTTACAAAGCTTGTTCTATCAAAGTTTTTTACCAAACATAAATAAGATTCAGATTAGATTCCAATCTTTCTTTTAAAATAACATATTTACAATAACCTTTTCAAGAAATAATTTCTAAATTGGAAAAAATCAATGTAGCCACAAAACTTTTTGCGCAGCAATATGTGCACCTCTAATGATGTATGTTGCGCTCACTTGTATAGATACATTGAAGAGTAGAACATAAACAGATGACTGGAAAACAGGTGCTGATGCATCGCAACAATTACATGCATAACCAGACCCATAACTACATGTTTACATATTACAAAACTGTAGGCGCCAGAAGACACAAAGAAGGGTGTCGACATCGTCGCGTGGTGACGGCCATCTCTTAGTCCCTCACCTCTCATACCTGCTGTCGGGTCTTGCGCGCCGCATGGATGAGCGCCGCGTCGGGTATGTGGCCCGGCTGCGCGAGCGCAGCGCGTACCGACTCCGCGCGGTACAGATGGAACCCCCTACTATCCTCCTCTGCCTCCATCTCATCATCAGACAAGTCCCCGGCTCCATCTGCTGCTAGTGCCTCGCGTCCTGACAGTATGAGACCCTCCAGTGATACTTTCTTTTTGACCTTTGGCTTTTCTTCCATGTCCTCATTGTCCATTGTGTCCTGGATATTGACATAGCATTATTTACAGGTAGTAAGAATTACAATTATTTAGTTGTTATTCACAGTCCCACACAACTCATGATGTTGGAAATGTATTTAATAAAAAATTAAATTAAAGCCATGGAAATAAAGCATGAACTCTTCACAAAGTAAACTTAAATTATTCTTTTTATGTCTTGGCATTACTAGTATTGTTTTCTTCCTTTGTTGCCTCCCCTATATTAGCGGAAATATGTGTCTACCAAATAATATAAGGATAGATGGGTAATTTTCACATCATCATAAAACATGATGGATTAGATGTTGCATAATACTTGCAATGTTATGTATTGTTTGTGTTTTGTGAACATTACCTCAGGTGAATTATTGTCATATTTGTTATTATCACCATCAGGGACACGACGTTTCTCCTTCTCCCGTCGCTTAGCAAGTTTTTTGCTCTGTGATGATTTTTTTACTTTAAAAACTTCTCCATCATCCTCTGTTACAAAATCAAAACAATCAAAATTATTAATATTCAATAACATAAAATTAGTTCAAGTAACAATTCAATCAAGTGGAAAACATTAAGATAAAAATTGTTGTCATAGTTAAAGTAAAAAGTTGATTGGACATAATTCAAAAATAAAAAATTCTATGCTTTAAAAAAATCTATTTACATTAAGATTTAAGAATCTGTTTTTGCATTCCAAAGATATAGTTTACAGTAAACAAAATCACAAGCAATAATTGTTTTGAATAAATATATTTTATATGTTTTGCTATGTCAAGTATTGTATAAGTACTTAAAGAAAACAATTATCTTCACAATTATAGCTTTAGTATATAAAATATATACATAATACATGTTTATATTGCATAAGTTATCAACGAAACTTCATATTTAGGTTATATCTAGGCAAATTATTCTAGGTTAATGACAAACCTTCATCAGCAAAACTTAAGAGTGTAGTGTTTTTAACAGGTTTGTTTTCTTTTTTCTGGCTGATGATAGGAGGCGGTGGTGGTTCAGGATCTCCGTCATCGTCATCATCAGCGCAAAAGACGCGTCGTTGAATCTTCTTTGGTTTACGAAATAATGACATATTTTTAATATATGAGAAGTTAAGGTTAACAGTGATATCGTATTTATGTTTTAACTGCAAACATTCAAATTAATTTAATAAGGACTGTACAATTTAATGATTTTTTCTATAATTTTCGACGCTCGACGCAAAGAATTAACCAATTCATTGGCTGTCAATGTCAAACTGTCATTTTTAGTTTTAGTCTGTGATAGTTTTTCGTTTTTCACTATGGTCAATGTTAACAGATTATGTAATGGTAGTGTTGGTCCTTTTTCAAAAATAATGATTTTGAAAAAACAGTTACGTTGCTAGATTGATTTATTTGGACAAAATTATCTCGGAGATCAAATAATCTTATCCGCGAAGTTTTAACATAACAAAATGCTATTTTGATAAAAATAATTGAGAAACCGATAAACCAGAAAAGTAGTTTAGTTTCCAAATTAAAAACCGTAAAATGGATTGAACGACATTACACATTCCCAACACTAGATCTGTCTTTGTGTCCCACGAACGCACAAGTTCTGTGCGTATTTGTGTTTTGGTCTTGGTAAGTGTTCCCAAATCTAGATTTATTTATGTAATCAATTACAGTTTTACATATTTTTATTTGATGTAACAATCCTTGTTACATTTAGTCTAAACAATGTGCAATATTTATATGAAATCTGTAAAATGTGACTTCTTACAAAAATGTGTTTGTCTTCTAGTCCTTAAATTTCTTCGAAGTCCCTACTTCACTCATCAAGATGGGTAGGGAGGACAAGGCTACCTGGAAGACTAACTACTTCACCAAAATCATCGTAAGTTCTTTTTGTTTTAGTTCACGTTTACAAACAATATGTCTGTCCTAATACCAGTGAACACATAATTGGTTCTCTGGCTTCGCTTTCAGACTAAATCAACGTCTTCAAATTTATCCTAGTGTGATAGTTTCATATATTAACATTGCACTGGCATTTTGGAGATACAAATGTAACCTTTAGAGTAATCTAGTAAACAGTATTTTAATATCCTAATTACTAGTTTTCAAAGTGATAAACTTTATAATTACTCTTTTATTAATTTCAGCAACTCTTAGACGAGTATCCAAAATGCTTCTTAGTGGGAGCAGACAACGTGGGTTCGACCCAGATGCAGCAGATTCGTATCTCGCTACGAGGCCACAGTATTGTGCTGATGGGCAAGAATACCATGATGCGAAAGGCTATCAAGGACCATTTGGACAACAACCCAGCCCTTGAGAAACTGCTGCCACACATCAAGGGAAATGTTGGTTTCGTGTTCACCCGTGGAGACTTAGTGGAGGTGAGTAAACATCAATATGTTTGAAATACATAATACAATTAATAAACTGAAAATTGTAAAGTGTTTAAAATTATGTAATAGTTTGTAATAAATAACTAATTTTACAAAGTTTGAAATGTTTAAATATTGTTATTGTTCTATTTTAGGTGCGTGATAAGCTGCTGGAGAACAAGGTGCGTGCACCTGCTCGTCCCGGTGCTATTGCCCCTCTCTCAGTCGTCATCCCAGCACACAACACTGGTCTGGGCCCTGAGAAGACTTCCTTCTTCCAGGCCCTCTCCATCCCCACCAAGATTTCCAAGGGTAAGAAAAAGGCAGAAGAAACTTAAAATATGCAAATTATTAGTAATTTTAGGTTTTGAAGATATCTACTTAGCAAATAATATGAAAATTCTATAAAACAAAACTAATGATTCACTTATATTTTACTAAAATGTATAGAAATTCTATAGCTATAACTTTTGTTGTAAAACTTGACAAGACATCTGTTATATTTTTAACAAAAAGCATTGTATTTTTTCAGGTACAATTGAAATCATCAATGATGTGCACATCTTGAAGCCCGGCGACAAGGTGGGCGCCTCTGAGGCCACTCTGCTCAACATGTTGAACATCTCCCCCTTCTCGTATGGTCTGGTTGTCAAACAGGTGAGCAACATTTTAGTTTATATTACTTTTTTTTTTTAACTTTAGGTATCTTTGCAAAGTCAAGTTACTACCATCCAAAGTGTTGAGTACAGTGTGCATAATGTAATGCATTCTGATAATTTATCTTTGGTATAGTAGTTGCTGCATGGATATAAAATATTTCTGTGATAACAGAAGTGAGATCTATCAGCAGACATTTAAAACTTCCATAAATTCATGTACACATAGCTACTTACGAAGTGTACAGATCAATCTTTCAAGTACCTCTTCTTAATATATACTTTTTTTTTCATACCAGGTGTATGACTCTGGCACCATCTTTGCGCCGGCGATCCTGGACATAAAGCCAGAGGACCTGCGCGCCAAGTTCATGGAGGGTGTGGCTAATGTGGCTGCGCTGTCGCTGGCGGCTGGCTACCCCACGCTGGCCTCCGCGCCGCACTCCATCGCCAATGGATTCAAGAACCTGCTCGCCCTCGCTGCAGTCACAGAGGTTGAATTCAAGGAAGCCACCACTATCAAGGAGTTCATCAAGGTATGTTAAAATTATTGCGGTTTACAAGTCTAATATTCGCCAGTTACTACTTTTGTTGAAGCAATAAACAACAATATTTTTTTTGATAAAAAGTATTGTTGTTTTTAAACTACATGTTCATTGACCAAAATGTTGAAATATCCTAGAAAACAGCAATGTTAATGTTTTGTATTTGTTTGCATCAGGACCCGAGCAAGTTCGCGGCAGCCGCAGTTGCAGCCCCGGCCGCAGCAGCGCCCGCCGCCGACAAGAAGGAGGAGGAGAAGAAGCCCGAGAAGGAGGAGTCTGAAAGCGACGACGACATGGGCTTCGGTCTCTTTGATTAAACTGTTGTGGCATAGTCTCGCTCCCACTGTGACCGGACTCGTCGCGCCGCCGGCCAGGACAGCCATATGGCGGCCAATGCAAGTCTACACAGCGGTTGCTAGTCAATAAATGCTACTATGACCGTATTTAGTCTTTTATTTATTTCTATGATACACCTATTGAATGTGTGAGTGAGAAACATAAGCGGGAGCGGCGCTTTTGTCAACCACCACCATGCCTGAATTGTGTTATTATCAAGATATCCATATGAATGAAAGGTAAGTCAACCGAGCATTACAGTGCTCGGTTGCCTTGCAGTCGTAACCCCTTCCCTTAGGGTGCAATTTCATTAGTGGAAGCATTCGGTCTAACTACAAATAGAAATGGTCTGCCGATGTAAAGCAAGCGTCGAGATCTCGCGTATCATGCGTGAGCAAATTCATGGCACCATGCTTGCGGGTGCTAGCGACTAATGAAATTGCGCGCTTATCCGCACGGTCTTTTTTTAACGCCGCGTTGAAACAGCGTTGGCGGCTCGGGCGATAAACGCATAAAAATCTGCCCAGCATTAAAAATGCAAAACTGCTCGATAAAAAAGCGCTGCCGATTGATAAGTTACCTGGAAATTAATTTGTTTTATTTAAATTTAAAAAAAAAAACGCTTGTGTGAAAAGTGCTTAATCACGTGCTCAGTCAATGACAAAAAATGTTTAGTCAAGTAACTTATCTTGCTAAGTTATTCGTTAGGAAAGTAAATGATAAAAATACAATTTGTGTCCAAACGATTTTATTTCTTTGGTCTTTATCCTAAAAAGTTGTAACGATAAGAAGCTTCATGGCTCCTAGCGTTTATTACGCTTAAATTTATCTTTACATACATTAGTCCCTCCTGTCACCAGTCGAGAAGAAAAATATAGTTATATCACATAAGGTACAGACAATTTTAAATATACATATATTCTTAACTTAAAAACGAAGATAAAGTGTAAAAATAATGGCAAAAGAAGATTTAAACACAATTAAAAATATAACATTTTTTCTAATACTATACTAAAAGTTTGTTAAGCGTGTTAGTAAGCTACAAAAACATTTCTGACCACATATCTACAGACGGCTCGGCTTTTTACATCAAATATGTCACCGGCAAATCGTGTATGCTGTCCGTTTATAAATTGCCCAGGCAAACTGCACGTCGAATAAATTCATTCACAATATGACTTAAATTTGTACAGATTCTTAGAAACCATAAAATTTGAGCGCCAATATAACACGTTTTGTGACTGAATTTGTTTTTTTGCAATATTATATTGCCGACTTCACGATTTGCCCATGTAAAGTAGAAACAGGCGGCATTCGCGATCGCTCAGTAACATTTACATAATATTTTGCTAGATACATAAATATATAGAGGTTTTTTTTACACTTGTTGGCTCTATGTAGACATAGGTGTTATTATATATCAATTATAAAATTTCGCGTTTATAAGTAAAAATTTAGATTGTCTTTTTTGTGTAACTGTTGTTAAATAATTTCAAAATCACAGAAATACTTAAAATAACGACAAATAATAATCCAATATTTATATGGACAAGCATATTAAGATATAGAAAGAGTTAACTAAAATGGAAAATTAAAAACTGAGTTGTGAGCAAATGTTTCTTATAAAATTTTAACTCTGATTATTTTTATAGAAAATACAATTGACTTTTTCCCATCACTAAGCTTAAAACGAGGAAATAAACGAAAATAAGAGTAATTATTTTATTTTAAAGTGCAAAATATTTGCAGTGCATACATTTTGGACTGCACTGACCAGATTATATTATGCATGGGCAGTATTGAAAATTGTTTTGAAAGTAATTTTTTTTTCTAAATAATTACTATAAGAAGTACAGTCGCCTTCTTTTGCGGTGATCCAGTTACAAAAAATTGCCTTGCACTTAACGAACACAAGCTGCCCTCCCCCTTCTTACGAATTTAAGATGCTGTTAATTTTTTAATAGTGTTGAATACGTTTTGGTTACAATATAATTGCTTTTGTCAATTTATGATTTAGTTAGTAAGATTGTTTTAATACATTAAGTTGGCAAATCATATTTGTAGTCATAATACATATAAATATTTGTGTGTTAGAGTGACGTATGTTTTTTTATGACTCAAGTAATCCATTTTTTATACACCAAAACTACAAGTATGACTTGCATTGCTTTTTAGGTCTAGTCTAAAGATATTTATAAGTCCTTGGGTAAAGCTTGGTTTATGAGTTACATAGATTTTGTTCATACTATAATAAACAATTGTAACATTAGTGTGTTGTAAAATTGTCTAATTCATATTTTACTTTACAAGTCAGTTGCATACTCATGTAAAAATATTTAACAAATTATTTGTCAAGGAGATATTCACCTCAATATTCAAAGTCAGTAACTAATGCCTTAAAAATTAAATGTGTGATTGTGGGTGCAAAACATGAATGGATAAAACTTTTTTTATAACGACGTCTTAATAATATTCTCAAATACAATTTTAGACTCGAAAACACACATTATTCCAACAAAAGTAATTTTAACCGAGCCTTGTCGCAACTGAAAAAACGAAACCTAGAGTTAATATTGCACAACACTTTCGTATTTTCAGTGTTACCTTCTTTCGTTCCGCGTAGTGTTTGCAATTGTCGCTACGAATGGCGCGGTTCTGTTTGGACGTTACAAGATGGCGGCGCATCGCGTGACGTCACACGGTCGGATACACGTCGCGTGCGGATGCGCTCATAATATCATGTGTTGCGGCGTGGCGTCCGCCGGCGACACTGGTAATGCTGCTACACCTTTAAGTAAATTATTGAAGTAACTAATGCCACATGTTTTATAATAAATTGTTGTTCAACCCAATCTTCCTTGTTTCTGAACTGAAATACATAACGAAACGGACAAAACGAATGGTTTTTACCCGCAGTTTAATGGAATTAAAATTCAGTAAGTATAATTACAGCTCACCTATTTCCCCTCGTGTTTCACTGTTAATGGATGGGTTCTGGCGGGCTTGCGCCCTCCTTGCGCGTCGCGAGCGCCGCGACCGCCGCTCTGTGCGCGCCACCAGCGACTGCGTCTCTTCCGCCTCAACGCTCGCACTGCGCACACACGTCACCTCATTTATTACCAGTCAAGCTAAATGCGGGTTTCCGCTCACGAAAAAGTCACATAAAATATATCATTTCTCCTTGTTATAAACTCAGATAAATTATGAATATTGTACTTATGAGTACTTACTTTTCGCCATTGTTTGTCTGTTCAGTTTCTTCTGAAGGCTGAGCGCTCTGGAACGGACACAAAAAGATTAGTCTAAGCCGTGAATTGAATGGCAGCGCCACTGTCGATAATGAAGCCAGCTGATGAGCAAACTGTATTTGGTTTAAATACTCATCACTTCAAAGACGAGCTTCATGCGGTGCGTACCTCTGCGTCCTGTCCGCGCTCGTGTCGCTCGCGCAGACGCACCATGTGCCGCACCGCGCGCACGAACGGATTCTCTCTCTGCTCATCAAATGTACCGCCCTGGAAACATATTTTTTGTTAGATACACATATTAACTAGAGTGCAACACGTACGTCCTACTGTTTTATTGCAGTACTAGCCTGTGTGGGGGCTCGGTCGCTGTCGGCGAGCAGGGGCTCGGTGTCGCTGTCGGAGTCCGAGCGCGCGCGCGGCTCGCCGGCGGCCAACACGCGCCGCTTGCACACGGGACACACGCGCCGGTTCTGCGTCAGCCAAGGGTCTATGCACTTCGAGTGGTACGCTGCACATGAATATACATACTAGTTAAGTATTTACCTCAACTGAATCTACACATTATAAATATAAGTTGTCAAGCAACTCCTTAAGAGAGTTCTTTAAATCAGTTTATTATTTTTCAATGACACTCCTCCCCATATCATGAGCCAATATTAGCATTTATTAAATGAAGATAATATTAGATAATATAGACCGTGTGCACAGGGCAGCACTCGCAGACGCTCGCCCTCCTGGTAGTCGTCGAGGCAGATGGCGCAGGTGTCGTAAGGATCGCCCTTACTGAATTTGCAGGTCGGGATCTTCTTGAGAAAGCGATTAGGTAGCCGGTGTCGCCTCGCCCTCCTCCGGTCCTTTATGCACTTTATTATCTAAAATTATGTAATACGTAACTTAATACAAGTGTAAAGGATAGAGAAAGTGTCTTTCTCACAGTTAGTAACAATCAAGACAATGTGGCATCGTCATCATTCTGATGTGATACTCACCATAAATATAAGTATCACAATGAGGCACAGAACAACTACGACTGCAAACGGCACCAGCAGACTGTTAATATTGTACGGTGAAATACCGTCCAACATTATATAGTAACTGAGAACCAAAAACAAACGATATTTAATACACCAATGTACAGACCAACAGCATGCAAAATAATCTATATTCAACACAAGATAGAAAAGGATTTTTTTTAGACCTTTAATGATCCTCCCCAAAAATTAGTAGGTTACCATTATCATAAAATTCAATTGTCGTTTGTTGTCTCTGGTTTTAAGGCATGAAAATGTGACTTATTACAAATATTTCGATAATGATAACCCAGTGTCCGTAAGTGTACCACCGCTAACGTAGCTGACTGTACTTACTTTCCGAAAGTATATAGGTATGCTTCAATTAGCACCTCACCCGTCTTGTCACTCACAAAAGTCGACGGTATCACAATGCCATCTGGATTCTTTGCTGACATTGTCTCTGAAAAGAAACATTCTTTGTTACAGATAACAATTGTTTAATAGAGTAAGATTTAAACCGCTAAATTGAATCTGAAATCTACCCACAGTTTATGGAGTGTTAGCTTACTCATAATAAAAATGGAAGTTTAATTGGATAGTTGTTTGTTACAAGATATCTCCAAAACAGTTAACAGATTCCGATTAAATTTGGCATAAATATAGAACATAGTTTACTTATAATTAATAACGTGCGACCGAAGTCACAGGCGACAGCTAGTTGCGAGATATAAAGTAAACATTAATTTCAATGCATTGTGAGATTATATCCTGGTGTAAACAATTTTTATAACATATTGATAACAAAAGCAATTTGTATTGTTTGTTGCGGTGTTTGCTTATATACGTATATTTATGTATACATAAACGAGAACATATATATTTATATACAAATATATTTAATTAACTTGGTATAAGATAATTTTACTATAAATTACGTGAATAAAATACTGAAAACGATTATATTTTAAAATAACAATGAAATTAGTAACAGATTAACAGTCCTAAAGATTTCATTTTAATTTTAAATACATAATAAAAATAACTTTGTATAGTTTTTGTGTATTGTATGGATAAAATTTGTAAATTTTTTTTAAAAAGTTTATAGAAAATGATATTATTTACTTGGCCTTGAACATCAATTATCTCCAACAATAATAAAGTTTATCAAAGCCTTATGCAGATTTGTATAAGCTTAGAGAGAACCAAGTAAGTTATATATGAATTTCTAACATAAATGTTTTAAGGCAAACTCTGACCAACTTAAGATTTAAAGCTTTTAAAGCACAATAAATTATAGACTTACATGATTGTAGACAGTTGTATTGGAATATGCCATGTCTATTCATTACCAGTGTCAACAAGCAAATGCAATGGAGGGAGAAGTTCGCGACGCGCTATCAATGCGGTTAACGTACGGATAAGAGGTCGACGTTGTAAATATATGAACTTACGGAAGGATTGACTTGAGATGTATTTGATTATTTATATACTAGCTGTTGCCGGCGACTCTGTCTGATTGTCTGGCTGTCTGTCTGATAGTAGCTGATTGCTAGACTTACTGATTATGGATCGTCGTTTCGGAAGACTATGTGTATCTAACATTATGACACGAGAATTTTATATATAAGATGTGAGTTAGCATTGTTGTATATTTTACACTTCTAAAACTCACAAAACGTTACAATATATGTAAAAGTTAATATCAAAAGTAATAAATTACTTTATTGAATTCTCAAAGAGCAAAATAAAAAAATATTAGTGGATTATTATCGAACTGCTTGGAGGTTAATCTTTTTGTACAACCGAACGGCTACCGAACCGAACTAATATTAGTGTGCCCCAGAGTATGAGTCTTATAATAGTGTTGAGCGTGCTTATTTTTTTATCTCTACCAAGTTTGTACAACTTACCGAGTTCGCTAGAGTTGACATTGTGTACAATGGCGCAGTCGTAGCCGGCTGCCTGCGCGTTACGAATCTTTATCTCAAAGCTACAATTGAACCTGCAAGAAAAACTCTGCATAAAACATATTGTCTGACAAAACACAGATAACAGTATGTTTTAAACGGGGATTTTTGTCTCGGAAACCTACGGTAAGTCTAACAATTGAAATAATACTAGTATCGTATAATGTAACTGCCAAAATCCTGTCTGCCGCCCGTTTGTAATTTTCCCTGAGAAATCGTAAAATCTCGGCAACTATATTTCGAACCAATTTATTAAGTTTATGATTTGGAAAATTATAAACTGGCGGAGTACACAATTTTCCAGCGACATAACATAATATATTTAGGACATGGACAAGTTGTTTATACCTTGCGAGTAGCACTATCCACTTGCCGGTGAAGTTGTCTGTGACCTGCGGGGGCGGCGGCAGGGCGGAGCACCCGTCCTCGGGCTCGCCCTGCACCAGTAACCCGCGCAGCCCCGTCAGCGGCACCTCGCCACCGAACGTCGCCGGCATATCGGGGAACTCCTGCGCTATCTGTACAAAAAATTTAATTAGCTTCCAATTGGGATCGAATATCTTACGAACTGTCTTAATATCTTACTAAAATTATAAAATGTGAAAATTTGAATGGATGGATGTTGGAAGGATCTGAAATTTGACATAGATGTAGAACATAGTTTGTAAGAACACATAGGTCACTAATTAGGTTTTTTTCATTCCGCACGAACGGAGTCGCGGGCTACAGATTGTTTCGGCTGCTTGAAGCTAGGTAGCACCCGTAAAGGCACTACCTACTCGCTGCCTGAGACAAGCTCCCAATTGGGTGACCGGTGATAAAAAGACAAAGTAAGGGACCTCGTTTTGCACCTTGCGGCACGCAACTCGGACCTCACTTTGCGCCGGTAACACCGATCCAGGACCCACAAAAGAGTAGCCAATTTTGCTACGACTAAAAACGCAGGAAAAATCGCCCAAGAGAAACACTCAGATAGTACAACATAAATAGTTATGACAGTCATATATTTGACTCGGTTTTTTTTATGAAAATAAAAGAGATGGCATTATGTTTTTGTACAGTCACAGTTCGATGAACTTAAATACATGTTATATAGTAGATTTTCTGGTCATAAGTGAAACTGACAATGTTAGTGGCTTATTGAGATAACTTGCTGCATACAAATAAGATTAAACCTAACGTAAATAAAATGCTCCACAATGTTTACTATCGAGTAAGGTTTCCTTAGCTATTTTAAAGCATTGTGTAAAATGGTTAATGCTACATGAATACAGCCAAAAAAGATTCGTAAAAAAAAAACAATTTCATTATAACAAATTTAAGTTTTTTACCACATTATATGTTTTTTTAATAATCCTTTAGCAGTTATAAATTAGCAATATGAATAAATAATAAAAAAAAAATTAACACCTAAACAAATGTTACCTAAACCATAAAAAAAAACAAAAAAAAAGATAGATTGACAAGTGACATTTCAATTACTACCAGTAAAAAAATTAGAGTAATTTAAACTGTTCAAACTCCTTTATAAATTGTCAAACTTTTAAATTGACCTTTATGTAGTTGTAATACGATTCAATTCACAATGTATTTGTCTAACATGAGGTAACATCAACTATGTAATGTGTGCTAATTGTTCAATGTGTGTTCGTTAACCTCCATTGAAACGGAACAGGGTGAACATCTTTATTATTAAATAAAAGTTTAACAGAGTAAAGAAAAAAATAATTTTATATTCTAAATTCAAAACTCAAAAACAGTATACAATCGAACTTCGAAAAGCGAGAGTGTGTGATATTTTTTCGCTGATTTTTTTCACTCACCCAAGGACTTATTGAGTTCGTCTCCAGAACCGAACAATGACTCTCGCATATTAAAATCTCATTTGTCCAAATCTGATTGTAAAACATTAAAATTGACAAGCAATTGAGTTGTCTATTGCCCAAATCCCTGTAATATGTTGTCTGTTTTTTGATGATAAAGGAATGATAGCTTTTTATAATCATCTGGAGGAATTTGAACACATAGATTATTATGGTACATCTTTCAATTTGTGTACAGATTTGATATTTTTAATATATTAGCACATTAATCATTTTCTTATCTTATTTGACCTTGTTTAAATTATATCACTAGGTCTTTAGGCCACTGAGGCAAAATTATATATATAATTAAACAAGTTTGTGCATCAAGTAGTTTACCCACATCCAGCTTATAATCTAGAGCTAGTTAAATTATAGGACAACTAACTTTCGACAGTGACTCCGTCCATGCGAAATTAAAAAAAATATTTGTAGTCTATATGTTCGTACCAAACTTCATGGAGATCTGTTAGCAATTCCGTAGATATCTTCAAATAAACATCCATCCATCCAAACATTCGCATTTATAATCAGTCATCCAGTACAACATGTTAATGCTTTGCATGACTGACTCATACATAACTTATGCATCAGTCAGTGATGCAAAAAAATTTCTTTTTAATTGCAAAAGTGTGCGCAAGAACTATGTGTTGCAACATACTAGAGTATAATTATGTTAAATATGATTATTGACAAATTATAAAGGATCGTGGTACTCCTTTATTTTTTATTTTTACTATTACAATTGGGGCTTAGTTGTTGTGCATTTTGGCACAGTAGATATATGTTGGCAGGATATGAATCGCTCAACCCAGCTCAGACTCAAGAAAGCCCAGCAATCCTCAAGAAACTGACAATCTCCAGTAAAAATCTCAATAACTCATATAGAAATTAGTATGTAATACTCACTGTGTGTGGAGTGTCCACTGTGTAAACATATACATTAGCAGTGGCTTTAGTGAGTAGCGCCAAGAGGCAGGCGACGATGGCACGCAGCATGTTTGTGCAGCCCCACCGGCGCCAGCAGGGTGCAACGTCACGTCTCTTGTGCTCTCTTCTGTGCCACAGACCGGCGATAGAGCATGGTCTGCTGTTCTGTAAAGATTTTGCAGTTGACCTTTTTAGCCGACTTCAAAAAGAAGGTTTTTTTTAGATGCATTTAGAAAATGGTTGGAATTAAATTATATAGTTTTCCACTAAGTTAGAGTTTTGTTATTGGACAGAAAATAACACTTCTGTTACTTCTTAGATGTATATTTCTTTTTCATATTTTATTATCAAAAAATATAACTATGGTAAATAGATATTTGTAAAGATTTAGAGATTACATAGAAAAAATCCTTTTCTATGATCATAACTACTCTTAATTTACATTGTCACACAAATTTCACAAAATAAGTAAAAATTGTACTTAGTTTTGGCATTGGATTGAAACAAAGTTTAATGGCTGGGTTACATTATACCAGTAAAGTATGACAGTAATGGTCAAAATCAGCACTAGCATACAAGGCCTCATAAGAGACCAGACCGTCAATGGCAGGACAGTGTTACTATCCTATTGTACTAGCATAATGTAAACCAGGAAATAACATTACTGTCCAAACAGACCATTTGAGCAATTTGATATAATTAAAATACAATATACCTGATATTAAATCTTACATAGCAGTGGTAAGTAGATTTTGTTGCTGCATTGAAAAAATTATTAATCACACTTCAGATTCATATTCTAATATATTTATAAATATTAGATGATATACATTGTTGTATTAACAAGGTTAACAATCATATTAATAAAGTTCAGATCACAAGCTGCATATAAAACAAGTGTGGATAATTTCTTTTATCAAGACGCGAGAACAAAATTTAGAACAATCGGAGGAGATAATGCAGATCACTTGTTGTTTATTTATACAATAGTGTACATTGTTTTGAAAGTGATAACACAGTGAATTTCGTAATCACAACATTTGGTTTGCAGATTGGGCCCGTGCGTAGTTTTGCACACTGTAAATAAGTAGGATATTTCAATCCAATTAGATAGTTAGGACATGGTGGCCTTGAGTCACGTGTTAACAACCACAATAATTTCATTCCATGATAATAATACTGTATCCAAAGCAAATACAACAGCAACAATCGGTACGTGAAACACAAAAGAAATTATGAAACTTACTTACAATTAAAGAAGTTTTGATCCACGTATTTATAGAGCACGATCAGATTTATAATCAATACACAATTTCATTACAATTTGACAAACAAATATTTCTCAAAACGATAAATATGAACTACTACGACTGAATCACTTTTTGTTGAAAAAAATTAAGCCATATCTATATCTAATGTCAATTGTGGTACGTTCGTAAACCTATACTTTTGTTGTTTTTTTATGTTATATTCATAAAAATAGAAGCAAAAACCAAAAAAAACGTAAATAAACACTTATATACAACTGCTTACACTATATTTAAATCCACAAACGTTATTTTAAAGTATGCGAAAATGAAAAACTTCTTAGTTTCAGAACGTCATTGTCAGTAAAGAGTAGTATTCTGATTTTGCTATGGTTTAAATATCAGGCGCGTAATTTGTTTCTTAAAATTTTGTTAAATCAAATATGATAAACAAACCATGCGAAGTCGTTCGTTCCTTTTTTCGTTTACACCTCGCCGGCTTATGCCTGCGACTTCATCTGCTCAAAGTTTTAAAAAAGGTCGCAAAGTGTCTCATGTGCTATTTTTGCCAAAATTCAAGGTGTTCGGAATTATTGAGTAAATAAATTAAATATATCCTACGAGACATTTCACAACTCATATTCATAAGTCGCCTATGTGTTCTTTCAGACTGTGTTATACATCTATACCAAATTTCAGGAGATCCTTGCAGCTGTTCTGGAGATACCTTCTAACAAACATACATCCATACAAACATTATCTTTTATAACATTAGTAAGAGTAAGAATAAAGAGTAAGGAGAGTTCTAATCTGTCCAACTTAAGAGCTAATTAACAGTATGATTAATGACAACGATAAACAGATATTATCAATCCCTGTTGATTTTGAAGTTTGATAGCTTATTAACTTATTATCTAATCTACCTAAGTAGTGCAGCAGTGCGGAGAAGAAATTAGTTGGTTGATAAACATTTAACAACTATAAATAAACATGTATACGTAAGAGTAGAACTGTACATAGTAGACTAACTGTAGGTACATCAATATGACATTGCAATTTAATGAACATATATAAAAAAGTGTACGTAAGATTATTTTATCTTAGAAATAAAATATTAGGATAAGGATATTAATTATCATCAATTGATCAGTTTATTGGTGACTTATCGACAATTCGTACGTACGTTCAGCGAATAAAAAACGAAAATGGCAGCCGATAATGAAATAATTGTACATGAAAGTAACGAGGTATATTATTAATAGTTAATTATATTATTGTTATAATTATTATTTATTAAACACTAGGTAAACGTATTGTTTTAAGTGTTCAACTAACTTTTGAATAATTCGTCATTATTCATTGTTTCATTCATAAAACTTAAGTTTATGGTAAATTTGATGCCAACACCTTTATCGTATTTTTCCTTGGTATTACTAAAAAGAAAGATAATATCTTGATAATAATAAGTGCAGGTTCATTACTGAGTTCTCAAGTAAGATTTTATTATCAACCTATTTTAAAATCTCAAATATCGCCAGGAATATCCCTAAAAGTCTAGGCGTGATATTAACCCGAATATTCAGTTTGAGTTTGTTTATTAAAGCAAAGATTAATTTTAATTAAGACATTAAATATTTAACTATATTACATCTATTAAACTACTACATTTCATGTTTTAGATTAAGGACAATGCAATTGACGTCGGCGGTGCACTCGACAGGGTTATCGAACATGTTGGCGAACTGGGCTTATATCAGCGCCTGCTGTTTGTATGTATGCTGCCGTTCGGCATGGTGTGGGCCTTCGTATACATGGGACAGATATTCATCACCGCCACGCCACAGGAGCACTGGTGCAGAGTGCCAGAGTTGGCAGGCCTTAGCGTGGAACTCAGGTCTGAATACATTGTGATGCAACATGCACATAATCGGCGAAAAATTGTAAGATAATATGTGTGCAACAGATCTAATTGTTGCTGGATTCTACAAATGTTCATTAACAATCGCGTTTAAACGACTTCAGACGAACCCTCTCTATCCCGGAAGCGGTCGAAGGCAACTACGACCACTGCAGGATGTACGACGCCAACTGGACGCAGGTGCTACAGACCCTGATGCCGCCGGAGCCTGGCACACCTACAGTGCCCTGTCAGCACGGCTGGGAGTTCCTCTTTGACGACATACCTTACTCCACTGTAGTTAACGAAGTACGTTAAATAAGAAATAGTACATAATTTTCATTCTGTTTTTATGTTATAATCAATTATTCACATGCATATTTTACGTGCAGCGGGAATGGGTGTGCGATCAAGCGAGCAATGTACCGTGGTCTCAGACGATAAACTTCGTCGGCTCCATTTTCGGAGGGATCATCTGCGGCACGTTAGCAGACAAGTATGGTCGACTTCCTGTTTTAATTTGTAAGTTTATTACATTCCTGTTTTCGCAAGAGTGAAGCGGGGAGGTTTAACTTTCAAATCGTAGCATAGGAGAAGAATATAGAATTATACATTTCCACGTAGAATATTTCCTAAGATTGATTGGCAAATTAAGGGAAAGAAAGAAAAGGATCTTTCTTTTCGGGTACTAGATAAGGAGAAAAAAACGAAATGTCTTATTTTCTTTTTTACGTCCATCTTCTGCTAATTCTATGAGGTTATAGCAATTCTCCAAAAAGTTCATTTGGTAGTTCCAGAATTCTTGAAATGTCACGATTGACAAATTTAAATTTCAGTTGCAAATATCGTCGGCTGTCTGGGCGGTGTGGCGACCATGTTTACGAACGGTTTCTGGGACTTTTCGATGTGTCGTTTTATAGTCGGCATGTCCTGTGACAGCTGCTTCATGATCATATACATTCTGGGTGAGTCTTAAAATTACTTACCAAAGTTTTACTACCTTCTGTCTGGTCGATTGTTCGTAATAAGCCAAGAACTCGTTGTAGTTGACTTGACTGTCATTAATATTTCTATCTATAGTATGCAGTGGCTCATCTAAGCTCTTTCCTGTCATCACCTATGATTAAACTATTAATGGTAATCAAACTATAGTTAAGCACTTTTGTTTTAGTATTGGAATACGTAGGTACTCGGTACCGCACCCTGGTGGCTAACATGTCAATAGCTCTGTACTTCGGCGGCGGATGTCTTCTGCTGCCGTGGCTGGCGCTGTGGATCTCCGACTGGCGTTACTTTGTGCTGGCCACCTCACTTCCCATGCTACTAGCTGTGTTCACGCCTTTAATAGTGCCTGAGAGTGCCAGGTTAGTTATGCAATACCCAAATGGTATAAGTTTCATATGAGCCAGCTTTAACAGTGTCTAACATTAAGTTGACTTTCACAGGTGGCTAGTATCAAAGGGTAAAGTAGATGATGCTGTAAAGCTTTTGAAAAGATTCGAAAGATTAAATCAGACTAAAATACCACAGCAAGTGATGGATGATTTCATTGTAAGTAACTTTAATAGACCAGCATGTACGAATTTCGTTACTATTTAAAAGAACTATGTTTTATATTTTTCTTTACAAAGAACATTTTCGGTGAAGTAATCAATTCCTTCATCTCCTCTTCAGTTTGCTGGAATAACTAACAACGAAAAAGAAGACAACATCTTCACGCTACTGAGGACACCGTCTCTTCGTAAGATGCTGGCACTGTTGGTGATCACCTTCAGTGCGGTGGCGGTGATATTCGACGGCATCATCCGCATGTCGGAGAACCTCGGCCTCGACCTCTTTATCACTTTCGCTGTTACCTCCGCATCGGAGATACCGTCTATTGGTATACTGGTGTTTTTGTTAGACAGGTTTGTGGAAAGTTATCATACGTAGCAATATGGGAACGCTTTTTATCTAATTGTATTGTCTTAATTTAAGTACATGCTTTAACCTTTATTCTTTTCCAGATTTGGTCGACGTAAGCTAGTTTTTATTCCAGTAATGGTATCAGGCATTTTGTCTTTAATAACTGCCTTCCTTCCTCGTGGTAAGTCATAATCTACCAATTTATGGCATTCATCTTTGGAAATCTTCGTAAATTTCAATAATTTCATGTTCCAGGCGTGGCTACAGTTTCCGTGGCGACGTTGGCGCGGTTCTTCATCAACATGGCGTACGGCGCCATCATCCAGTGGACACCAGAGCTGCTGCCGACAGCGACGCGGGCGTCCGGAGCCTCGCTCGTGCATATCAGCGCCTTTGGGGGACTTGTTGTCTCCCCTTTCATTGTATATTCGGTGAGGCTTCAAATAAACAAACGTAACGTTCTCACTCTCACACTGTCACTGTCTCGGAAATACTTGTTTCAAATTATTGCCATCTCTCTCATCCTGTTACAAAAAATCGAGATAGTAATATTTTTTTACACATGACTCGGTGATGGAGTTTTACGGTACTATTATAAATACGTATGGATGAATTTAGGGATGATTTTTAAAAATAGTTACAGATAGGCTGAACTACTGATCAGGATGAAATTTGGAACAGAGATAGATTACAGTCTGGAATAGTGCGTAAAGTAAAGCTATTACACATATTTCGTTGACAGGAACGTGCTTGGGAAGGTCTGCCGCTGATCATCATTGCAGTGCTGGCGGTGATATCTGGCGCGGCGGCATTGTTCCTGCCGGAGACAGCTGGACGCAGCATGCCGCAGACCATGGAGGACTGGCACCAACTTGCGGCCACCGCGCCCTGTCATCAGTCAGTATAGAATACTCAGAGTACTTTCAGTGTCCCCCTTAGTATACTAGGAAAATTAGTAACCATTCGAATGTAGAATGACTTGTGGCAGTATTTTTATTGACTTTTGCCTAAGCATGTCAAAAAAAAATAAGTTCTTCATATTAAGGCGGCAGTTATTTTCGTAACACAATTTGGTGACCGCGCTAAATTGATTATTCTAATTAACTGCGTGCTTTCGTTAATCGTAACTAATGGCCGGATGTCTTTTATTTTTGTCCACGCACGGTTTTGTTATTGTTTACGTTTTAGCCGAATCGAATTGTATAAGTCCTAGTGAATATTTTTTTAATGTGTTAAATCTTACTATCTTGTCTTATATTTTACTAATATGCGTATGTTTGGATGGATGGATGGATCTTGCTGAATTTGGCATAGATGTAAAACATAGTCTGGAAGAACACATAGGTAATATTAATTATTTTTTTCCGTGCGGACGGAGTCGCGGTCGACAGCTAGTATATCTATATGAATGAAATACAGCACGATAAATGAAACAATAGGCTACATGGTAGGTAATAGAATTTATTTAGTATTTAGGTTAGAATAGCTTTGTGTCATGTGATAACGATTTATGTATCATAGCAACAAAGTAATCATGTTTGTTAATCACGTTTTTTTTAATTTGCACTAATTGTGTTTATTGTAACAACTGGGGATGTTAGGGAGTCAATGTTTTATTTAAATTTTGTTTTCTTCAAATGCAGACGCTTTCTTTATTTTCTATGTTCTTATTATTTTTATTGCTAATTAAAAATTTTAAAGTAATATAATTTTGTGAACAAAAAAAACTTTCGTATACTTTCGTGGAAAAATAAACTTAATGGTTTTTGAAAACAAAATCTTTGTGTAAAATATATCGTCATCCCTATCATTATACTTGACAAAAGTGAGATAACAATATATTTTATACGAAGATTTTGGTCTCAGAAAGCAGCTATACTAATAAGGCATATAATAGCTAATTATGACATGATATAAATGACACGTACATACAAGTCGTTGTTAGTTTTTTAATTTACTTTTAATTATTTTTAGGAAACAAAGAGACACCGAGGCGTCCTCCGGTGTGCCGGTGAGCAGTTGACACCCGACCACGGATCTCCTTCAAGCGCTCCACTTCAACTTTTATTTACGATACAATAAATCTAGTAATAACTTCAGCGAATTTTGTCGTTTTATTACAAAACGGAAACGTGACATTTGAAAGGAAATCAAGAGTTTATCTAAGAATTAAAAACACGGAAAAATTAAATAGGATGTTGAATTAACGATAGCTATTTCTCTAACTACATCTTACTAAAATTATAAATGCGAATGTTTACACGTTGTATGGATGGATGGGGTTGTTAAAACGTATCTCGAGAACAGCTGAACAGTTTTGTATAAAATTTGGCATGGATATAGAACATAGTTTGGAAGAACATATAGGCTACTTGACCGTGACTTTCTGAAACCGAAAATCTCTATTTAAAACATGTTGCTATCTCAGTTTTGTCAGAAATAATGACAGGGATGACGATATGTTTAAAACGGCGATTTCAGAAACCCACCGTTATTACGTTTTTTTTCAATTCCCCGTATGCGGAGGCTAAGTCCTTAGTTATCTTTGGTAAATTGTTAAACAAACCGTCTTCAATTGTGATACAAACAATGATATTACACTTCGATATCTTCATTTAACCTTGTGTAAATACGATCATGTGTAGATAGTGGCCATCTAATCTTAGTGCAACGTACGCGAGGTGTCAAGGCGAGCCTTTTTACCTAATAGAGTTATGGCTTCATTCGCCATCACTTCTTTGTATATTAATGTTTGCTTAATGAAAGCAATTCGATCCGTAGGTATATATATTGAACATTTAGTCTGATGATAGATTAGAATTAATATTTATTTTTTAACTAATGGTTTTTTAACTAAGAATTTAAAAAAGTGATGTATCAATAGTACACGAACTCTACAGTTCTATATCCTCTAAATAATATTTTTTCTTTTTCAATTCCACCACGAATTTTGATGTTTCCACTCGAATTAAAATCGATATTTAATTTCAATGCAAAATGCGAAGTCTTCAAGACTTAAGATTTTATTCTATTCGAGACTAGGCTCCCGTGTTCGGGAACAAATGAATTAATTTAACTAATTAATTTATGATGGTTACAATTATACTTGTTTTGTTTTATTGTATTTTTAACATTCATTCTACCTCAATAGTGAATTAACAATTATACAGCAAAGATTAAATAAGTGAATCTTTATACAATTTTGCTAACAAAAACTGATTACACGAAGTCATCTCGTCTTCGTTATCGTGTAAGATAGAATTTATTAACCACTTGTAAATCGTTTTAGACATGACAATTGCGAATAACCTGACGTACATTTCGCGGACCTAACTATAATTAATACATGTTTATTACGATGACGTTAAATTAATAGCGTTTCAAAACCTTTGTTTCAACTTATAACATTGTTATGAATAAATATGAAAATATTTTATAGAGTTTTATGTTTGTTGTTTACGTAGACACTAAAATTATCTATACAGGGTGTCCCAAAAGGTTACGTGTATAGGAAGGGGGATGATAGGGGTAGTCACAAGGGTCACCAGAAAAATAAAATACAAATTCCCCTCTGGGTATTAAAAAAATAAATGGCATTTTTTAAAAACTTAAAAATTTTAATTTTCTTTAAAATCTTTGTTAGTTGTATTGTTTTTTTTTATTTCATATTGATAAAGGGTTATTGACGATAACATAACAGCTTTTTTTTTAAATATAGCAATATTTATAGGTCATCGGTTACAAAATTGCCCCAGAAGGTGTAAAATTTTTAAGTTTTTAAAAAATGCCATTTTTTTTAATACCCAGAGGGAAATTTTCATTTAATTTTTCTGGTGACCCTTGTGACCACCCCTATCATCCCCCTTCCTATGTACGTAACCTTTTGTTACACCCTGTATAGGAAAATTATCTTAGCATATTTATTGTTATAAATCTACTATTATGATTAATTAGTGACGTAATTTCTTAGTTACGTAGGAACGATGACGCGACGTATGTCTTCAAACAACTGAACATCTTGGGTAAAAACCTAAACTACTACAGATACAAAATATTGACATACAGGCATTTATTTTGTTTAAATTAAAAAAAAAATGTTTGCTATTAACATATTTAGAGCCTTTTGTAAGCGTGAGAATACTCCCGATGGTAAATAAATTTCTAGTCATTGGATTTTGACCTTTTATGTTTAGTCAAAATCCATAGACAAGCTGTTTACCTGTGTTTGTGAAAGAAAATTCATATTATTTTTTTGTGTTAAACATTTCTCATTAAAACAAGTGCACGCTCCTTACTCTAAATTCCAAGTGAAGCAGTTTTATTAAGAAAAATTAATGCAAAGCATCAGAAGCTCAGTACTGAAATAAAGCTCGCCGCGTTCGGATCACGATTGGTTGGTAACCTTTAGCGCTGTATCGCTATTGGTCTATTTTAGTAAAGTTTTCCGCAGTGCGTAAAAAGTGAAGTCAATAAAAAGAAACTTACAAAAAATTTAATGCTATAAAATTTCTTTTAAACAATTACGCTTATAATCAAAAAAAAATCTGTTCGATTTATCAAAAGAAACTTAAAGTTGATAAGTTGGTTAGCATAAAATATTTTACCGACTTAGTTATTTTAAACAATATTTAATGACATGTTTCCGTTACGTTTTGTCTCAGTCTTTAACTTTAGACCACGGATACTAGCTAGACATCTGTAATATACTTTAATTATATTTTTCTGTATTTTTTCCTTTTCGCCATCAAAAAGATGTCATAAAAGGAATTAGCAGCTATATTTTTCTGTAATAAAGCCGGCTACGACTTTCACTGTAATGCAAATATAAACAAGTGGATGTACAGAACAAATTGCATTTTATTACTTAAAACATAAAGTGACTTTTCGCTTGTGCATATACCTCTACGAGTGTTTCATATGTAATGGCACATGGCAGTATACAAGTGTATCTGCAACGATCGGTCGCGCCAACTTAGTGAAAACATTTGAATTTCGAACAATTCATCCACCATTGAAAAAAAATTGTTTTTTACAACAGTTGCTATTTTTCGGCCAGTATATAGTGTGTTTTATAAATAGTTTTTAAGTGATTTTTCATTTCAAATAAAAATACAAAGTCGGAATGGTGAGTTTATAAGTATCACTTTTTTAATATGAAAAGAGGCTATGATTTTTCTACTTAGCAACAGCAAAACGAATTTTAAATATGAATGATATGAAAACAACGATTAGTTATTATCACTTTGTCAACACTGCTTTGCAAAAATTTTGATAGAAAGATAGACTTATGATAAAATAACGGAAAAATGTTGAATAAATTTTTGCTGTATAATTATTTCTTACAAGACATGTACTTTATTACATCTTTTCTTTGATCACAACTTCAAGGATATTTGTTTTTTTTAACTTTAGGTACAATTTAAAGAGTTTTAAGATATTGTACAACTTAGAATAAGCTTTTAGTCCACTATCAGTTTTTCCGACTCGCGCCAACCCTATTTGCAATTTCAAGCATTTTTTTTGAAAAATTTAATTTCCTAGTCACTGTCAGGTGGTATTTATTTGAGTATCTTTATCCATCCATCCCATTGCCACGGGTCAGTTATTAAGTGAATGTAAATCATTATGTTAGATATAAATTAAATAATGATTCATCATCATCAGCTCACTATTTGTCCCCACTGTGGGGCTCGGAGCCTACCCTAAGTTAGGGGTGACTAAGCCATAGTTAACCACTCTGGCAGTGCGGGTTAGTTGATTACATACATATCTTTGAATTTCTTCGCAGATATGTGCAGGTTGCATCCAGATGTTTTCCTTCACCGTAAGAACGTCGGATAGCTGTACATATGTAATTCAAAAAACACATGTGTACCAGACTTGGCGAGTTTTGAACCTTGGACCTGCAGATTACAAGTCAATTCCTTAAACCCCTGAGCCACCGACGTTCCAATAATTGTAAATTTAATTGTAAGATTATTGTAAATAATTAATTGTTTTAATTATTTTAATCAGTTTATTATATCTCTACCTACTGTAATACGTAAATTATTTGTTCTGATACTTATCTATGTAAACTTTGGATGTAAATACGTATTCTGATTATTTTAATAATCAATCCTTTTATAATCGTTACTTTTAATTTCTCTTCGGCTTTGCTGGTTCAAACAATGTTAAATATTTTACACATTTGTTAGTGCGAAAATCGGCATAAGTTGCATTAAGTTTGCCTTAGCTTTTGAGTTGAAAGGTTTTTTGAGTGCTTTTAAAACCCGACTACTCAAATCAAACGTCCTGATTACTCAAGTCTAACTCCGGGCAATCGACGGGGTTTTAGTTTTATAATTGTATTTTCTTTTCTTTAAGACTCAAAAAAATCCGTGACATGTCGAATTCAACGACTCATAACATTATTAATTTAAATGCAACTGTCAAACGCATTTTATGCTTAAATTAAAAAAAAAAACAAATTTTGTCATTTTTATTGTGTTGCCACCTTTTTGGAATATGGGTTGCAATATTCGTGAAAAACCTATTGGTAAAACTTTACTAAAATTGGTGAATTTGGACATCATAGGAGGGATGATACTATGTCATTAAATCGTCATACTATGATATTATCGATACTTTTAAAAATAGGTAGATATATATTTTACCGTGCTTAGCTCAACGAATTACTACCAAAGTATACAAAGTAATAAAGCTTCTCTGCTTTAGGTTAGGTCATCACATCCGTAGAGCGCGCTGTAATCGTGACAAGGATAACCACGTTACCTAACCGTTCTAGTAATAATCGAATAGTACTTGTAAATTTCACATTAATTCATATTCGTTGAAGAACGACTATTTAGATCCTTTTAGATTGTGGTTTGTATGCGGTTTGAGACTTGGCTAAAAGTAATACGTTACAAAAACTATCTTCGAAGAATTGTTTATAAGAATTATAAATCAAAAGGTTTTTACATAAACGTATCCAATAAAAACAAAAGGTTCTATTCTATTAGTTTATTATATGACCCTGTTAAATTTGATAAATATCATAAAATTTAATCATTATTGGTTGAATTTGTTGATTATATTGATATTTATCGCTGTAAAGGTCGTGTAATATGATAGATATAATCTGGAGTAACTTTATAATAATCTGTTAATTTTGTCCTAGTTTTAAATGTGTGAATCATAATATACACGAACATCTACGATATACAATCTTTTATACTAAGCAAAAAGTTTAAATGTAAAAATACCTTTGTTTTGTCGAGTCCGCTAAAGAACATACGCGTAGTAAATGAATGCTCAGTAAATACTCACTAAACTGAGAAATGCATAAAGCGAATAGCAAATAAATTACAAGATCTTGATATCGCGCTCGAAAATGCAAATATAGACAAGCTTTAATTGCAATAGTAAATACCCATGACTTAGATTGCATCGCAATTATTTCGAATAAAACATTGAAAAAAATTATATTAGAATTATCGTAGATTTAAAAATGTTATAAATGGGTGACTGTTCTTTTATGATACTTAAGATGAGTATAGACTAGAACGTTTACTTGTAACAGAACAATAAGCCGATTTATATGTAGTATATCTAGTGTATCAGCCCTTCGCGAATCACACGTGCTTTGGAAACTGTATGTCTGTATTATAACATTCGTAAGAACGTTACATTACATAGAAATGCATGAGAAAATGCTCTAGTGTATATTCACCTTTAGGAGAAGGATTCTAATCAAATAATCTTATTTGTGAAATACGGATCAGTCGTTTAGGCATACAAATGGTCACAATAAAATTTACATTTTCAGCGTGTCCCAAAATTCAACGATAACTCGGTTATGGTGTATAGTTCATATAATCCCCATGTTGTTAACGATCTGGGTACACACCAGTGCTGGCTTATCGTTGAATTTTGGGACACGCTGTATACAACCACAAGACAAATAAAAACTTATATGCGCGAAAAACATTACCTTTGTGAGTCATTCGGATTATAAATCAAAACTCAATGTTGATGTGTCAAATAGTTTTATTGTTCTTTACATTTAGGATTGGGTTGTCTGTGATTGGTTAGTATCGGTTAATTTGAATATTTAAAAGGTTGGCAACAATACATATCGTATGCAATACAACACACACTTTTAATCATACATTTTGCATGAACGCATCTAACTGCGTATTTAATATTTTCTACTCTAATGGAGTTAAACACATTATTACTTTACGTTAAACTTTTATTACCATTGTTAATAATCTTAGTAATATAATAGTACAATGTTTCTCATCTGATTTATTTATCTTTTAAATTTTTATTACTGAATTCATAATAAGTTAAGGAAAGTGGAAAACGAACTGTAAGACAAACAATGCAAGGAGGAAAATAATAACGAATCAGTCTAATTCAACAGGGAAAACTTTTGTATTGGTTTAATAAAATCATCTTAATACATTTATGATATTTGCAGACGTTATCAAAAGATAATTAAAACATTTTTGCACAAAATCCTTTATTTGATAAGTCTATTGTTAGAATCTAGTAATCTTTGTTTATTTTGCAAGATCATTATGCGTCTTTTATCTCAAATAGCAGACTTCGTGACTTACAATTGGAGTTAGTGTTATCATTGTATATGTACATATCATTATATATAACATGTACATATACATAACATTGTAGTATCGTTTATACCCGCTCTTACTGTAATGAAGTTATGACAACTTTGTTCTGCTGGGCATAAGCCAAAATATAAATTTTGTCTTAATTTGTGTTGTTTATTTTTTTCATAGTATTGTTTTTTGGGGTAGATTTCGTTGAATTTCAATAACAAAGCTTAGCTAAACAATAAAGCGCTTTGACTGACGCAAGGTTGATGCTTATCGTTAGAGTAATGAAATACATGATTCACTGTAGTCCTTGGTTGTCAAGGTCGCGGTTAAAATTTCAAAGATATGTCTAACAGAAAACAACTAAACTTCTTACCTATCAAACAACAAATAATAAGCTCACAAATATATACGATCGCAGTACAAGGCAGTAAAAATAATGCTATGAGTTATAACATTCTAATAACAGTAGCCATTTTGTTCGTCTGACAGAAGGATAAAGTTTTTGGCTGGTATGTATATTCTATCGTGGTTTGATTTACTATACAAGTACACTTTTCAATACAAATAATTGAATGTTGGACTACTTAATTAGTACCTGTAATTCAAATACCCTACGTCCCACGGGTATTCAATTATGGTGACTATCTATCCTGTTCCCAATTTGGTTAATCTTGTCAATAAATAGTAAATGTTTGCAATACCATACAAATATAACAAACAAAGTATCTAATACTATATTGTACATAACTTTACTTATTTTTTTGTCATTTCGGTCATAGCATTTTGTATAAACGATACAGTGTCAAAGACGCTAATGTTGACGTGATCGTATTTGTATGTTGGCCCATATTAGATGTAAGGTCAGTACTAGCCGCTATCGTCATTTATTATATATTTTAAGGTTTTATTTTTATACGGATAAGATACTTAACTCCATTATGGTTCTAATTATTGGTAAATTGAGCCAGTTGTTTAGAACAAAACTGTCAAAATAACATGGCCCAAAAAAATAGATTTTTCTTTATAAAACTAATCATTGTAGTAATATTTATACGCGTTAAGATCGTCATGTTTAAGTGAAAACGTGTTACTATGTGTTTGCGTGCAGAACTGCTTTATCGATTCTTTAACAAAGGGACTGTAAAGTTACATAACGTTTTTATAGTTTCACTTATAAATCTTTTTCTACGATAGCGTGTAGAATTCATATATTACGGTTGATTAAAATGTATGGAGTAGAAAGTAGTACTGCGCTGATGCTGTATTGGAAAAAGAAAATGGACGAAAGATGATGAGCGAGCTTTGACGCATATAGAATTATCAAAGTGAATGGGCTAACCCCGTTTAAAATATACTGTTACCTCCGTTTTGTTAAATTTAATGACAGGGATGAAGATATGTTTTATCAGAGATTTTGGTCTCAGGTATGAATACAAAAAAGAGCGCGTTAAGTTGCGCAAAACGAGCCAGACCGTAATGTATACAGTAAGATGTCCCTGTATACCAATGTGTTTTTCGTTTTTCTTTTCTTCAGTTTCAATGGAAACGTGGTCTGAGGAAATGTCGTGTTGACACCTGTCTCCATTTCAAAGGGAACGCGATTACTTAAAATATTTCGGCTGTCAAATTAACCACGGTCATAACTGTTTGGTCACGGTGATTTTGACGTCTTGAAAGCAATTAGCTTACAGCAAACTTTTGTCTATAAACATCACTGCTCGTTCCGATTTCCTTGTGCTTCGAATATAATAAGCACGTTGTAACAAGACGTTACCCTCTTGAGCCTATATTTTTGAAATGTTAACAACAATGCAAAACTGACTTTCTAAACTTATTAAAACTGTTGTTAAGTTTTCATTCAAATTAATCAATTAGGTTAAACTTTTTAACATAATTTTATTTAGGCAAGGATGTCAAATGATAAATATGAGCTAAAGATCTTAATCACAGTTTTTGGTATGTTCCTTTTTACGCTTGTAATCAATTTCCGAATAGTTCAGATACTAGACCTTGATTAATCAACACAACTTAAATACGTTGCCAAATTCGATCCTGCATGCTTTCGATATCAATCCACGTGAAGTAATGGACGTGTGTAACGAAGAATTGTAATAGTTTTCTATAGATAAATAAATATTTCTTTTTTATTGTTGTTGGTGGGTTGCGGTACAAAATGAAATTGAAGGAGGTTGAATCCATTGGAATGGAGGTTTGTCTTTGTTATTAATTGGATTCAAAATTATTTGTGATTTTTTTATTGTAAATCGAAGTTGTACTGAATATTGGTTATATTAAACTTTACAGTTTGGAGGTTAATAAAATGTTTATATATACTTTCATTCACCTACATATATGTTAATAACATCTCATCGGTTGAAACTTAATTTAAATTAGTATATTATTTTTAAATTATTTTATTATTTTCTCTCTCTCTCTCTACTCTGACTTTGTACATAAATTGTTTCTTTTATAAATATGCTTATGCAGTGCAGTGGATTTGCAGATAAACAGACGGTTGACGACTAGCCTTTAAATATCCTATTTCGCCGCAGAAATATCTTTTTAAATCACATTTTAAGTTGCTTTTTGCAGCACACTAATATCTTAATTTTCTTTATTATAGGATGTTAAAAGATGTTTTATTGACATCAAATAATTTTTTGAATTACACATCAACTTGGAGAACGGAAACTTATTGTGCTGACACCAGACAGAGGGATAAGGGCCAGGGAGATAATTTTGATGATATAATAAACGAGCTTTTTAAATTTCTTTTTTTTTCTGCAGGAGAAAGAACAAATGAAGAAGGAGGCGGGAGACAGTGATGCGTTGGAAAACGTGTTGTATCACGTCGGTGGTATGGGGCTGTACCAGAGGATGCTGTTCCTCTCCATGTTGCCAGTCGGTATCTTCTTCGCCTTCATTTACTTCGGACAGATGTTTATCACGGCTACACCGCAGCAGCACTGGTGCCATGTGCCGGAGTTGGCGCACTTGGATTTGGAGACCAGGTAACTAATTCATACGAAAATCCGAACAATCATTTCAAAATCTTATACCACATTACTTTATTAAATAAATATTTCTATAATTACATATAGTCTTTAATCTATGATATAAAATAAAATATTTAAAAAAAACGAATAATTCACTAAAATATGTTATTAAAAGGAGTCCCTTTAGGATCTATGTATAATATCGATAGGTATAGCGTATTCTTTATCTCATTCACAACAATAACGAAATGCGAAATGTTAATCCGCTAATTTTGATATTTGTAGATAAGACTAACATGATAAGCAAAATCAAGGTTTAATAAATTACAAATCAATTAAGATGCGTTTATGCAATTTCATTGGCCCGTAATTTTTTTTAAATTGACAATGGAAGGGGCAAAAAAATTTGATTGGCTGCTACGAATGTCACTATACTTTATGGCGAATTTTGGAGTGAATCTAGTGGTAGATGTTTTTTATATAAACACGACGTCACTTCCAGAATACTATAAACGTCGTTCGGTTATCAGTAAAATAAGTTAATATCTAAAGATAATTGTGGAAGTAATTACTGTATCTATGCACGTACTGATATTTAGATTCAAACTATCTCTGAAACCGGAAGCCGGTCTAAAGTTTTTAATGTACGAAATACTTATCAGATTAACCTGCATATCTATATTGAATAATAATAAAATTATTATGAAAGGATACGTATACATCAGTGACGCTAACTAAAAACCCAACTGCAACTCTTTGACACTCTAAAGGAAGGAAAGATTCTTTTCTCTTCAAAATTGGACAGAGGATGCAGAAGTCGCAATAGAACTAAAAATAGGGGTGCCCAAAAATTAGTACGTACTGAATATTAAGAGTTATTGATTTAAATGTTTCTTGTTTAAGACGCAACCTATCGGTGCCTCGGGTGGAGGATGGGTGGGCACAGTGCGCGGTGTATGCAGCCAACTGGAGCCACGTGCTGCACGACATGCAGCCGCCGGAGCCCGGAACACCCACGGTGCCCTGCAAGAACGGCTGGGACTTTCAGCTGGGAGACATTCCCTATCACACTGTCGTCAGCGAGGTGAGATGAGATTCGACTTATCGGTCAAATTATAAATGAGCACAGAGTATTGAGGAAAAATTGTAACATAAACTTCTTTGACTCTTATTTTAGAATTCCTGCAATATATTAATGCAGATAACATTCAAAGAACAAATTGACACATATAAAAAGATTAAAATGAAGCGTAAAATAGTCTGTACCAGTATGTACTTTTAACAATGAGTGTAGTTTAGTTGTTTTATGAATCACTACAAACAAATTGTTCTTTTATCTAAATATCTCCTTTTAACTACATAAATTAAAGGTTTACATTCACGTGCTAGATAGTGGTTGTTGGTTTTCTGCACGCTTTTTCCTTATTTTGTATAATTCGTGCAGAGTAACGAGATTAGTGTACGACACTTACAATGGAGAGTATTCAATATTTGTTTTTCTTTATATATTTAAAGTTTACAGTACCTGAATGACCGTATTTTTTTTAATTGTGTTTTTTGGAAATTATATTTAAGTGTCATGATGTCAGGAAGAGTCATATTTTTCAGTTGAGACTACTCAAACGCCTCCTTTTTGTTATTTTTCTTCGAAGTTTATGTTTAAGTTGATTATCGATAAAACACGAATAAAATGACATTTTCTAGAAATGATTCCTAGCTAGATCGATTATAAATATATACTAAATTTTATGATAATCGTTGGAGCCGATTCCGAGATTCCAATTATATATATATGTATAATTGGAATATCTTATATCTTCTATTTTTGCTGTTAGCGTGGCTGGGTGTGCGAGTACTCCGGCTACGCACCTCTAGCACAGACCATATACTTCGTGGGTTCTCTAGTGGGAGGTATATTCTTTGGCTGGATGGCTGACCGTTTCGGCAGAGTGCCTGCTTTAGTTGGTAAGAATTAAGTTTCTTTAGATTAAACTGATATATAAACACGGCTAAACACTCATTTATATTGATTACAGAACCGTCGTCCTTGTTCTATTAATAGAACGTTTTTACCCCAAGGCCTTGCTGCCCTTGACCGTTTGTTTTTTTAAGATCTATTATGGAGATTACAAAAGTTTCACAGGGCTGTTCAGTTTTACAATATATTTGGCGGCAACTGTAATACGGTTGTACCATTAACTTTATGAAAAAAAAAATTACGCCTTTTTAACACTGTTCTTATGTCGCGTAATATTTCCAGGGACGCATTTAGTAGCGTGCGTGGGCGGATTGGGAACTATCTATACTACGGGCGTCTGGGACTTTATCTTCTGCAGATTTCTAGTTGGCATGGCGTTCGATAATAACTTCATGATGTTATACATACTTGGTAAGTTTACACAGTAACAGTGAAATTCTATTTTCGTAGCATTTGTATTAAAATGTTTTCACTATTTCTTTTAAGAGACAAGTGTTTTAAAAAAAGTCACAGTAAAGTTTACATATGAAACGGATACTTAAAAAATCATGTGACAATGCTCTTCACACTTCGACGTAAATTATCAAAAGAAGGTCCAGTCGTTGTTTCGATTTATAATTAACTTTAAATTAATTCTCTGTTTACTAATGATTGAATAATGTCTTCTAGTGCTGGAGTACGTGGGCCCTCGTCACAGAACGTGGGTGGCGAGCATGGCAACTGCCCTGTTCTTCGGCGGTGGCTGTCTCTTGTTGCCCTGGATCGCATACTTCATATCAGACTGGCGCAAGTTCTTATGGGTTACCTCCTTGCCCATGGCTCTCTGCGTGTTTGTGCCTTTCATAATTCCTGAGAGTGCAAGGTACAATATTTTATTCTTGGTTGGTTTACTACAAAACTAATCTTTTATATTTTTAGCTGCATCTTTTTTTTTAATGTAGATCCTTTAAATCATAAATCACTTTGAAACAATCAATATTCTACACTTTATATTAAATACTTTCTTTTTTTGTAATATAGGTGGCTAGCGTCGCGCGGAAAAGTCAACCAAGCTGTTAAGATCCTGAAAAGAATTGAGAAAATCAACGGAACAAAGATCCCTCCAGACGTTATGGATGAATTTATTGTAAGGCTTAACTTCATTATGCTTATTAAAAAAATGTCAATTAATTGTAAAATAGGTCCACATGCTTTTCTGCTTAAATTGAATTATGCATTATATACGACACACACACTATAGCTTTAACGCTAAATCTTGACTCTACTCTTTTATAGGTATCCTCAAGTCAGACAAGACAGTCGCGGGAATCTTTGATTGATCTATTCCGAAGCGGTCCGCTGCGTAACATGATCATCTTTATGGTGGTAATCTACATGGCGTGTGCGATGATGTTCGATGGCCTCGTGCGTATGTCCGAAGGTCTGGGGCTCGATTTCTTTATCACCTTCACTCTCACATCGGCCACTGAAATACCGTCGGTGACTATCGTCGCTATAGTCCTAGACAGGTGAGAAATTGCCGTACTCAAATAGATTCGATCCTATTTATGATAATAACTGTATGTTTCAACATTTATTTTTCAGATGGGGACGAAGGAAACTAACAATCGTTCCCATTGTCACTGCTGGCACATTCACATTAATTGCTGCCTTTTTATCCAAAGGTAATAAAATATAATGTATTAAACAATCAACACAGAATATCTATAGCGGTTAACTGTTTCTTTGAGGTATAGTTCTTTTCACGTCGTTTCCCTTGTCGTGTAGGTGTGCCGCAGGTGGCGCTGGCGATCGCATCTCGCTTCATGATCAACATGTCGTACACGGCGATCGTGCAGTGGAGCGCCGAACTGGTGCCTACGGGGGCGCGCGCCTCGGGCTCCGCCCTCATACACGTCAGCGGGTACATCGCCACAATGATGTCGCCCTTCATTGTTTATTCGGTAAGTAACCAGATGCTTTCTACTGCGTCAAATATATGCCACAGTATGGGCTTTTTTTTCGTTCGTTACTCGAAATCTAATAGAGTCTACGATATAATTCTCATTAGGAACGATTTTGGAGTTCACTCCCGTTGCTGATCCTGGGCGGCACGGCGCTGTTAGCGAGCAGCTTCGCTTTCCTGCTGCCAGAGACCATGGGCAGGCCGATGCCTCAGACTATCGACGAGGGCGAGAAGTTCGTCAGATCGCACACTGTATGCGGGTAAGAATAACATCTCCGATATATTTTGTTGAGTTCCAGTAAGTTAGTTAAAACACCTCAATGAGTTTTAAATTACCATTTAGTATGGAAAGTGAGATTCTGAGTTATCAGACAACTAAGGCTAGCAATTTATCATTACATGACGCCATTAAACTAAGCGTAAGTTTGATGTTAGGCCCTACAAGTCGTCTTAGAAACATTCCGTTGTCGCGCCCAGAGAAATTGTCTAAGTCCGCCCTGAATTCACTGAAGAATTTTTGGTTTCAGAAAAGCTGAGGATGAAGATGAATTAAAATATGAAAAACAGAAGGCTTTGATCACATAGAAATTTGTAATAGCTATCAATGTGCTACGTACGTAGATCAAGGCCGCAGAACTTCCAAGCAACATTTAAACTGTTGAAAAATGTTATCGCTCGAAGCGACGTTTTCTGTTGCAAACTCGATCAATTTAGACTTTAAGAAATTTACTTGTACTTAAAATAACATAACCAAGTATTAATATGTGTTGTGGAAACACAATTTTTCCAAAACGGCTTGTGATAAAAATAAAATGCATGTAAGCTTTAATAGCAATTAAAGCAATCTATGCTTGAAATTATGAAGGATAACAATAGTGTGTCTGTCTAATCTATTTAAAGAAATATTAAAATATTCGTCCGCAAGAGATATATCAGAATAGCAATTAGAACACATTATTTTAGCTATTATATTAAGAAATACAAATTTATTCAATTTTTTGATTAAGCCTAACATTATAGTAATAATATATATAACAATGTTCAAAATTATGCTCTGTACTGTGGAAGTCGGAGAATACTTTTTCAAATAAAACATAGTCTTCTTTAACTCATATATTTCTTTTGGAATTGTAAACAACAACTTTTTCAAAAAAAACGCTACATTGTCATCACGATTTTTCGAATGTCCAAAAAAACATGGCCGTCATTCAGACGAGCAATTACAATACTTTTAGTTTACGATAACGAAATTTTGTCAGATTATTAACGTGATGAGTGTAATACTTCTATTTTATATTTGACAATCAAATATTTAAATAATCTGTTGAATCGTAATACAAATGATTAATGTTATTATTTTAAATAAACAAAAGTGTTATTAACTTATAGCATAGACTAAATAACGTTTTAGGTTATGGAATTACAAAATGTATGAAATGTCTAACAGTACATTATTATTATTAAACATGTACATACCAGTATGTACTTTTCAGTGCGTTAATAATAGGATCCATTTACTGTGATATTAACTGATTAGTTTATGTAATAAATACGATATTATAAAGAACACCTACATATCATAAGAGTTAAGTATAACAGTTAAATTATGAACACCTTTTTGTCAATTATTAAATAATTGTTTTAAAAATAACTTTATAAAAGTAACCTAACATTTAAATTGTTATTGCGTAACATAACAACTTTTGTTCCAAATTCGAAAATAGTATTATTAATAAAATAATTAATAAATCATTATCATTTTATTTTAATAAAGATTAAATGATTTTATATCGATAATTTTGTTGCTTTGGTTATTATAATATAGTGCGGTGAAATGGACGTTGATATAAATGTTTTATTTATATGTCAAATAAGATGTTAATTAATTTACAAATTAAAAATTTGTAAGAAATATTATTTGTGATAAATGTGTTAAAATGTTGTGATTTCAGAATATTACGTTAATTGTAATATTCAATTTATTTGAATAAGGTTTAATTATACGTGATTAATATTGTTCATTTATAACATTATATGAAATGAGATTATACGATACTATTATATAAAATATGTATTTTAATTTATATTTAAATACAAATTAAAAATTATTAAATTCGCCTTTTATTGTGCAATACCTTCAGAAGAACCAAATTTAACCCAAACTTCACGCTTAGTTCTTGTACTATTTTACCTTGCAAGGAAGTTTACATATTCGTTTATAAAAAATTGCAACTATTAGTTAGTCGAAATCAACAACAGTATAAAACAAGCAGTATCACAACATCACAGGCTTGAGCTAGAAGAATTTTATAGCTATGCGTTCCCAGTACTGTTAGCTAAAACTGCACTGAAACATGATGTAAGCCAAGATCCCGTGATCGCCAGAATGATTTCATTTTAAAAATAATAATAATTAAAAAGATTTAAAAATAATAATCACTAGTTGTCGCCCGCGACTCCGTCCGCGTGAAATGAAAATAATAATTTATTAGTTCCCGGCAATTATTCGAATTTTTCCCGCCGTAAAAACCATCTTTGAACTTCAACGAACATTTAAAAAAAGAATTGGCCAAATTGGTCAAGGCGTTATTGAGTTTTGCGATTAATTTTTAATAAGATTAAAAAGATTTTCTAATCTCTGAAACTCCGATTTACTAGCACAATTTTATTGTCACTTCTTGATTAGTGAGTGAGTCAAACGTGTAGCCAATCCACGACGACCAAAGATATGGCTTTACCGAAAAATATTATCACAAAAAATATCTATCGTATTTCACACGCGTACATTTGATATCGATTGTCTAAAATAACGGACGCGTAAACATCGAAGGACAGTTTTATATTCGACGGGTGTTTTTCACTGGTACGCAAAATGAAATCAGAAGAAATACGAAGAGATGACTACAGTGTTGTAGAGGTTTGTTTTAAAATACTATTAGGATGTTAGTATTTTTTTTAAATATTTTCAGTACTATTCAATGTTTGTTAATGATGAGAAAATCGAGTTTATAATAGTAATAAAAAAAGATATAAAATGTACAATATATTATTAAAACTTAATAAATAAAGAGTATTTTAACAATAGACACTACATTTTTAATGTTTTATTATTATTATTTTTTTATATCAAAAGGTGGCAAACGAGCGAGCAGCTACCTGAAATCGCTGTTATAGCGAAGTGACTGCTGCCCATAGACATACGCAATTGCGTATGCGCTGCCTACCTTTAATCGACGGAGGAGAGGATGCGCAGAAAGAAAATATCTTCCCTTTCCATGCATCCTCTCATCCGTAAAGTCCACTTCCACTTCCCACCCTTTCCTTATAAAGAAAAGGATGGGAAGGGAAAGAGGACTAAATTAGGCCTCCGGGACGCACACTCATCAGACGAAACGCGGAATTGCTTCCACTTCACGCCTGTCTTCTGTGTGGTCGTGATATTTCACCGTTCGAGCCGGGTCGAATCGTGCGAAGACGTTAAAGCGGGCTCTACCACTGTTATAATTTTTTAAAATTTATTAATAATTCGGAGTGAAAAATAACGCAAGTTCACCAAATCCTGTGTTTCATCATTACCGATACTATTAACAATATCTAAACCAAGTTTTTTGAATCAAGTAGTACACAAAAATATTTATTTTAGACAAAAGATAAGGAAGAGATGCAGAAGAAAGAGGCAGAGGATAGCGATGCGCTAGAGAATGTCCTATATCACGCGGGCGGCATGGGCCTCTACCAGAAGTTGTTGTTCCTCTCCATGTTACCTGTTGGCTACTTCTTCGTGTTTATCTACTTCGGGCAGATGTTTATCACGGCTACACCGCAGCAACACTAGTGTCATGTGCCGGAATTGGCGCACTTGGATTTGGAAACTAGGTAATTATCTAAAACAATGCTGTAAATAAAAATCACTATGTTCATATTTAAGTACCAGAGGGGTCCTTATTTCAGACGCAACTTGTCGGTACCGCGCGTGGGGGATGGGTGGGCGCAGTGTGCGGTGTACGCGGCCAACTGGAGCCACGTGCTGCACGACATGCAGCCGCCGGAGCCCGCTACTCCCACGGTGCCCTGTAAGCATGGCTGGGACTTCTTGCTGGGAGACATTCCCTATCACACTGTCGTCAGCGAGGTAATGTTAAAAATGCTCATTAAGAATTGCACATATTGTTATTTTATTCTTTAAAGTTTTGACCCAATCGATCCCTCCAATACAGTCGTAGATTTCTTTTATTTGACATGTATTGTACCTTTTAATTCAGCGAGGGTGGGTGTGCGAGTACGCCGGTTACGCGCCTCTAGCACAGACCATATACTTCGTGGGTGCCTTAGTTGGAGGAATACTCTTTGGTTGGATGGCGGACCGGTTCGGTAGAGTACCCGTGTTGGTTGGTAAGAATTAATCTTATATATATAATTGGAGACGTTCCTTGCTTCATAGTAGTGTATCAGCACAACATAGGGAAAAGAATGAAGATTCTTTGATGTACCCAGTAAATACAAGTGACTCTAGTTATTTAGTCGTAGAAATTTTTGATAAATAGTTTGGTAAATGAATTCTTTATCTAATCAAAGATTTCTGAGTAATTACATAATAAATTATTTTAATTTGTTATGAAATTGCAGATTCCTATAATTTACAAGTCATACTCAATTGGAATTTTTCCATAATTCCCCGTTCACGTGTTCGTATCTAACCATAAAACTGCAATCCCCCGATTTTATTTTATACATTTTTCTTTTAAAACTTATACAAATTATTCCTTTTACAATATGATAGTATGACGACCACTGACTTGAGAAACTCGACTTCAATCCAGTAACAGCAAGAATTTTTTAAGGTACACATTTGATAGCGTGCATTGGAGGTTTGGGAACTATCTACACGACCGGCGTCTGGGACTTCATTTTCTGCAGGTTCCTCGTTGGGATGGCGTTTGACAACTGCGCTATGATGCTATACATACTCGGTGGGTATACATTTCTGTATAATATCCGCAAGTCTTCAAATTCAACAGGATTCACAATTTAAGAAGACATTTAAACCAATCTACTGCCTTTCAGTGTTGGAGTACGTGGAACCCAAGTACAGGACGCTCCTAGTGAGCATGTCCACTGCTCTGTTTTTTGGGACCGGCGCTCTGTTGCTTCCTTGGATCGCCTATTTTATTGCTGATTGGCGAAAGTTCCTATGGATCACTTCTTTACCACTCGCGTTAATGGCTTTCGCACCCTTCGTTGTTCCAGAGAGTGCAAGGTGCGATTTGTACTATGGTTATTTAAATCAGTAATAATTGTGTACAAAAAATTTGAAGACTTTTCGACTTCTTAGTATGTGGACACGAGAAGATCTTAGGGCCATTATAGTGTGACATCATCTTATAAGGATGTCTATTTTCAAATTTATTCAAGTTTACTCATTGCATTCAAATGACTTCGGACATCATTATGTTGGCATTATTGTAGCCGATTTAAGTATGTTCTTGCTTTGATTTAATGACCTTGAAAGATATAGTAACAATTGCACCCAGTGTCGTCAGCCTATCTGTCTATCTTCATTTACTATTGGTAGTCAAATTTATCATTAAGAACCTTTATTTGGCGATAGTTGTACGATAAGATTAATATGAAACGAATGTTCGTTTATCTTTTTTATCAATTTGGACGTAGGGAAGAAATACAATGACCACCAAAAAAATCGTAACACCGTAAGCTGCTTAATCCAAAATAATTATTCGTAAAAGGCAAAAATTCTTCTTAAAGTTGTATATCCCTGTAGCGGGGAAGAGGGCGAAAAACCAAAAATATTATAACCTAAAGTAATTTTTTTTTTCTTCGAAAAATATATTAACAGTCCAAAATTAGTAAATAACTAATACCTAAATTTTACAAACGTTGTGAAGAATCAAGGTCCTTCGAGCCGGATATAAATATCTTTTTTATTCTTTTGTGAATAATTTCACAAGCAGTTTATAATTTTATTTCTATGATTTCAACAATACAGATGGCTTGCATCACGAGGCAAAGTAAACCGAGCCGTCAAAGTCCTGAGAACACTTGAAAAGGTCAATGGAACGAAAATACCTCAACAAGTTATGGACGATTTTATTGTAAGAAATATTCTTATTCACTAATGAGTTATTGAAATTTTAGGACATCACATTTAGGTATTTGATATTGCATGCACAAGAAGAAAGATGTAACATCAAAATGCAACTATCTCTATTTCTTTATTTAAACTGTAAATACAGATACAAATATTTTATGAACTACATAGTTTTTCACATTGTCTTTTTAACTTTTAAAATTAACTTTTTTGTTTTCTCTCTCTCAGGTATCGGCAACTCAGACCACAGAAACGAACGAATCTCTGATAGACCTGTTCAAGATTGGTCCTCTACGTAACATGATCATATACATGGTTGTGATCTATATGGCGTGTGCGATGATGTTTGATGGCCTCGTGCGTATGTCTGAAGGTCTGGGTCTCGACTTCTTTGTTACCTTCACCCTCGCCTCGGTAACCGAGATACCTTCAGTTACTATAGTTGCCATCGTTCTAGACAGGTAAGTTTCTACTAAGTTCCAGTGATATATTTATGGTACGCATACTGAAAAATGGAAATTCTTCCAGATGGGGCCGAAGAAATCTCACAATTGTTCCCACCGTATTAGCTGGAGCCCTCACAATAATTGCTGGATTTCTACCCAAAGGTAATCAAATTATGAAATCCTACACCACCTTATTTCAATCATCTTTTTAAAACTAAGAGGTGATGAATATACCTCTTTCATTGATCTCCTCTACCAACAAAGCTTCCTCTAAGTTCTATCTTACAAATAATTGTCGGGAGAGGTAAGAGTTCATATTTAGATGCTGATGTATTATAACTAATGTTGTATATTGTGTAGGTGTGCCGCAGGTGGCGCTGGCGATCGCGTCTCGCTTCATGATCAACATGTCGTACACGGCGATCGTGCAGTGGAGCGCCGAGTTGGTGCCTACAGGGGCGCGCGCCTCGGGCTCCGCCCTCATACACGTCAGCGGGTACATCGCCACAATGATGTCGCCTTTCATCGTTTACTCGGTAATGTTCTTTAAATTTGGACATAGGACCACTTATCCAGAAAATAAACTAGCCTGTAGTGGGCAGTATTAGGTTTAAGTGTTTTGCTACGATTAAAATTCTACCTATTGTTTAGAACTAAAAGAAATGTAATTAAATAATTATGTGACTTAGGAACGAGTTTGGAGTCCTCTCCCGTTGCTGATCCTAGGCGGCACTGCGCTAGTGGCCAGTAGCTTCGCTTTGCTGCTGCCGGAGACGATGGGCAGGCCGATGCCCCAGACTATGGATGAGGGGGAGCGATTCGTCAGGTCGCACACCGTGTGCGGGTAAAACATGTTTTCTTATTTTCTTTGATTCAAAATAAGGCATGACTTGAAACTTAACTTATCATTCTTCGTCCTTCTTTATTCTACTTCTCCTCTAACTCTATTCTAAGTTTGTAGTTGGGTCGGCATAGGGACGGTTAGTTTCCTTCTTTCACGCATTTCTATCGACTATCTTCTTTCTCTCTTTCTATCAATCAAAATCTTAAGAAAATCAAGCTGTAATCACACAATAAGAAAAATATATATAATCACGATTCTATTATATTACAGAAAAGCTGAAGACAAAGATGATTTTAAGTACGAGAAAAGCGATGCTCTCATCACGTAGAAAATTGCGGTGTGGTGTACTGACGTCAGACATCTTCCAAACTGTAGCGAAATAATTTGACAGCTAAGCCAAAGCTATAGTACAATTTGTAGATAAAATTATTAGTTATCTGTAGCACGAGTACCATTATACAACTTAGTAAGTAATTATTATATATATAATATTTACTGTGATACTAAATAAATCAATAAGTTGATATATATGAATTATAAAATGTTTAGTCAATTAAGTAATGTTGTTTTACTTACTTTTTTTATATCATTATGTGGCAAACGAGCGAGTGGCCACCTGAAGAGAGGATGCACAGAAAGAAAACATCTTCCCTTTCCATGCATCCTCTTATCCGGAAAGTTCAGTTCCACTTACCATCCTTTCCTTATAAGAAAAATGGTGGGAAGGGAAAGAAAATAAATTAGGGCTCCGGGACGAACTCATCAGACTGCACGCGGAATTGCTTCCACTTGAGGCGTGTCTTCTGTGTGGTCGTGGTATTTCACCGCGAGCCGGGCCAATTCGTGCGAAGATGTTAAAGCGGGCTCTACCACCGTTGAACATATTCTTATAGATAGATTTTTACAAATGAACTTTCCAGCAAAAAACTACAACCGGGATCCTAAAAGTTACTGTACACCGTCATGTTTTTGATGCTATAATTGTACTTGTTATTCATTATAAAATTGTAGTAATAGAGCTAAACTTGTCATTGTCCAATAAGCTTGGCTTAAACACCTCATCTCGTGTATTATCCTAATTATATCTCTAATTACCAAATGACAAGGCTAAAATTATCGTAATATAAGTACAGTCAGCGTCAAAAATAGAATCAACTTCTTATAAAAAATTATAAGTTTTTAAAAAATAATTTAACTTTCTAGTCTAAGGAAAATCGCAATAGATTTTAATAATATATACTTTAATTTAGTTACTGTTGAATCTTTTTGTTTTTGACAGCTATTTTATGTTGACAACCTAACAAGAATTGTCTTAATAACATTTATTTCATTTAGATCTAATGCGGTCACTTTTTACGTTAACTGTACTAACATTCTATGATGAAAAACTAATCATTTTGAGCTTAAAAGCTAACATCCATACTTGTGAGTAAAGAATAATTATGTTTATCATTGGATAATCTGATAGGTGAGTCGGGAAGGCGGGACAAAACCTTGAACCTCCAGATCTGCTACAATCTAGGAATGTAGACACAATAAGACTTATTTAAACATTTGAAACCCAACGGTGGAAATTAAAGCCGATAATCAGTATATTTTTTATTTAATTGGGCACATTTAGGTAAGTATGTATATATCATCAATAGTTTAATGGCCGAAAAAACTTCGCTGAAATCAAACTTAGTCTAAACTAATTTGTGTCCACATATATTACTAGCTGTCGCCCGCGACTCTGTTTAAGCGGAATTAAAAAATACCTATACCATCTAAAACATCCATTGGTTCGCATTTATAACATTAGTTGGATAAAATTTTACACAATTAATAACTAGTAACGTAGTTTTAAATCTTAAGTACATATTGTTTCGGAAGGTGTGTCTCGTTTGAGACTAATCTCAAAATGATAGGTTTAATTACGAAATTAGTTTTATCAAGAATCCACCAGTTGTAAATATGTGGACGCTGCGAACCAGGCGTTCATTACTTCTCGGCCGGCAGCTGGTGACGAACGGACTCAACAACAAACAGTTTTTATATATTCTTTTTGTGTTAATTGACAAGATGATTTTGACTAAAGTAGACACAGATGATCCTGATTATGTTGAGGTTTGTTATTTTCAATTATCATCTTAATAATTTAAAAAATTAAATCTACCCGTATGCTTCCGATGCGGAAATTTACTTACATATATATTGAATCTCATTTTCTCTAAAAAAAACATTCTTGTTGTTAAAATTCATGTGTGAAGTACTTGGCAGAGAAAACGTGGGTAAGGTATACTTTTTTTTTATTATAAAAGAATCCATTCTATTACCTACAACTTATTTGTTTATCTGAAAATGTGCGAGAATAAAATAGTGATGTTTTCATATAAATGTTTTGGCAGTGCGATCTTACTGTTGTAAATTAAAAAAAAAATTGTTGCCAAATTTAATTTAAAATAGCAACGGTTATTAAGTGCTTTCGTAATTCAAAGTCTTCACTTGAATGAACATAACATATGATAAACAAACCAATTTCATACTTTAGTTATATTAAAATATTTTCAAGTGTAAATTATTTTTATTAATAAAAAAAACATCCAATTTACTTAAACATAAGTTTTTTTATTCTTCCTGGTAATGTGCACTTAACCCACAATACAATGTTCCCTGTCCTTTAGCGGCTTGTATCATAAAAAAAAAACAACTTTATTATCGTAGTAAACTTTATTGCTAAGCAATAGTGTACATGTCAAATGAATTAGGCGACTATATTACCAGATTAGTATGAACATGCGTTTGGTATCCTCTACTTAAGTTTTATTGCCACATATTGTAACTACATCGAGATTATCTTACGCAATTGGATTATCACATCCAGAATAGGATTATCAGAATTGCTGTGTGTAAAAATTAAGCCTGTAATAAATGCGTTTACTTGTCGTGTTTTCCTAATAAACATTCAATTAAATTTACATGGTTTTACTTTACCCTAAAAATGCTTTAAAACCATGTCGCCCGTAAATTAGCAGGCTTGAAGCACTTTATGGGTACATTTATAACCTGACGACAATAATTCTTCAAAAATAAATAACGTTAAAATGAATAATTGGCATTCAGGATAAACGAAAGTAACTTACTTTATTGGTTTCACAGAGCTGTAAAGAAGAGATGAAGAAGGAAGCGGGAGGCAGCGACGCACTGGAGAGAGTTCTCTACCACGTGGGGGAGATGGGCCGCTACCAGAAGCTGCTCTTCCTATCCACGCTACCGTTCAGTCTTTTCTTCACCTTCATCTACTTTGGGCAGATGTTCATCACGGCCACGCCGCAGCAGCACTGGTGTCATGTGCCGGAATTGGCGCACTTAGATATGGAGACCAGGTTAGTTAGCGGATTTTTGCAAGTTCGGCTTAAATATAATTAGGTTTTATTTATAGTGACATGTTATTATAACCGTGGGTGTCCATAGCTGAAACATTCGTACTAAATCAAATTGCTGCCTTCGCTTTTTGGAAGAATTAAAGGGGGTTACAATATGTTTTTGTATAAGTATGTGGCCAGCGGAATCAAACGGCTACTCGACTGGGTTTACTGTGTGGCTGTTTAAATATATTCGAAATCGTCTTTGTAGACGCAACCTATCAGTGCCTCGGGTGGGGGATGGGTGGGCGCAGTGTGCAGTGTACGCGGCCAACTGGAGCCAAGTGCTGCACGACATGCAGCCCCCGGAGACCGGCACACCCACGGTGCCCTGTAAGAACGGCTGGGACTTTCTGTTGGAAGATATCCCATATCACACCGTCGTAAGCGAGGTGAGTTTTAACCTTATACGATAGGTAACATCGGAGAGAAACAGTTGCACTGTGGCGTCCAAAACTAATGTACTCGATAGAGCTTCATAATCCTTCATTTATACGCTGTTACCGATATTATTTAGATCCTCAAAATAATTAAAACAGTCTTAAAACAAGCCCAGTAGTACACCGACTTTAATTCTGTTTACATAACGTGTAATTCATTTGTCAGCGTGGTTGGGTGTGCGAGTACTCTGGATACGCGCCGTTCGCGCAGACCATGTACTTCGTGGGTTCCTTTACGGGAGGTGTTATATTCGGCTGGGCCGCTGATCACTACGGTCGGGTGCCAGCTTTGGTTGGTAAGGATTTTTTAATATCACAAACAAGCTATTGTTGTACTGACCTGAGGTACATCCATACTTATTCTACAAACAATTTTTAATCAGGTACAAATCTAATTGCGTGCGTGGGTGGTTTGGGGACCATATTCACGAAGGGACTATGGGATTTTGTCTTCTGTCGGTTCCTCGTGGGAATGGCGTTTGACAACAGTTTTACGTTGTTATATATATTAGGTGAGTTGTCAACTTATCTTGTTAGTCTTAGTTAAATTAACAACCACGGAAAATATATTTATTTCATATATTTTTGAATCCTTACAGTTTTTATTTCAGTTAGTCAAGTGACTTTGTTTTGCTTTAGTGTTAGAGTACGTGGGTCCAAAGCAACGAACGTGGGCAGCAAACGTTCCCCTAGCGTTCTTCTTCGGTGGCAGCTGCCTGCTGATCCCGTGGCTAGCATACTGGATCGCGGACTGGCGCAAGTTCCTCTGGTACACTACGCTACCGCTCTCGTCCTGTTTGCTGGTGCCTTATCTCATACCGGAGAGCGCTAGGTAAAGATTTACTGCCGCTAAGAATCAGTAGTTTCTTTCTTAGTGTGGATATAATATGAAAAATAATTTCTACAGATGGCTAGCATCGCGCGGAAAAGTGAACCAAGCAGTCAAAGTGCTGAAAAAGTTCGAGAGAATTAACCGCACAAAAGTCCCCCAAGACGTTATGGATGACTTTATTGTAAGTAGTTTCAAGTAATTGCCAAGGAAAATATGTCTAATTCGGTTCAAAAGATAGATTGAAATCTTGTTTTCCGGTGCCATTAATTGAGTCCCGCACCTAAATACACGAATTGTTACGTTTATTTATTTATCGAATCAGCTAATCATTTAATATTCTGTCAGGTATCATCAAGTCAATCCAGACAAAGTAGCGAGTCAATAATCGAGGTATTCAAGAGCGCCCCTTTGCGAAAGATGATGTTACTTCTAATGGTGATTTACATGGCTTGCGCGATGATCTTCGACGGTCTGGTGCGAATGTCCGAGGGTCTGGGAGTCGACTTCTTCTTGGCCTTCACACTAGCATCAGCCACGCAAATACCATCTGTGGGAATCGTAGCCCTCTTACTTGACAGGTACTTATTTGTACGGTTAACAATTGTGTATAAGAATTATTTTTTGTCTTTGATTTAATATTAAGTAGGTGATTTAGTTCTACATTTTTATTTATATTCTCATTTCACAGGTTAGGAAGAAGGTACTTTACAATGGGACCCGTCATTATGACTGGAATATTCACAATCACTGCAGCTTTCGTGCCTAAAGGTACCTATATCTTTTATTTACTTCTTTTTTTATTTTTAACTTTTAACTATGGTCAAAGATGGTCTAAGAAAAGAGCTGGAAATAGGCTCAAAAAGACCCTTAAGTATTTTGTGTTAATTTTCTGTCATGTTAAACTAATTAACATTCTGTATTCAGGTCTGCCACAGATGATCCTGGCGATCGGTTCCCGGTTTTCGATCAATATGGCGTGCACAGCGGCGGTGCAGTGGAGTACCGAGCTTGTGCCGACAGGCGCGCGCGCCTCAGGGCTGTCTCTTGTGCATGTCAGCGGATATGTCGCCAATATGCTCTCACCGTTAATAGTGTACTCGGTAAATAGTAGACTGGATAAACAGATAAACAATTATCTGACAATTTTATTTTTGGATATCATATGAAATGAATAAAAGTAAAAAAACTGAAGTCACTCAAGTATTCTACCTCTAAAAAATTTTGTTGGTAGGCACGTATTTGGGGCCCGTTCCCACTGCTGACGTTGGGCTCGACCGCGCTGACGGTGAGCAGTATCTGCTTCTTGCTACCGGAGACTAAAGGCCGGCCCATGCCGCAGTCCATCGCAGACGGAGAGAGGCTCATGCGATCACACACTCTGTGCGGGTGAGACAATAATATGTTTTTATGAATGTTTAATGACCTCAAATAGAGTGCGATAAAGACGGCATGATGTGATGCAGTGGAAATCAGAGAACAAATACTTGAGACAAAGTATTTGTAATCATGTTAATAAAATTCATATTTCTGTTGTAGACAAGCTGAGGAAGAAACTGATTTGAATGGTAAAGAAAAAACGCTCATCACATAAGGGCCGCGATTGAAATATTTTCGTGGGTGTTTTGTTTTGTCGAAACTTTGTTGAAATAAACATGTATATAAGTGCAATAAGAGAAATAAGAGAAATTAATTACGAAAAAGTTACGTAAAAGTATTTTTAATGCATAATGTACTTATTGGTGCGAATGTGGTATTATTTTTAATATGATTCTAACTTAGGAAGGGCTTAAACGGCCCAAGGTAAATTAAAATAAATTTATGAAAAAAAAAATTGATTGAATTTTTTCTCATTTTTATAATCTATGAACATCTAACTGTCATTACGTCATATCCAAAGTAACGAACATTTTCCAAATAAGATATGACCTAAAGGTCTATGTTACGAGGTCATAAAATTAAAAAAAAAACATTACGTCATACTATCATAGAGTAACAAACCTAACAGAGTGGATACACGAAAAGAAACAAGAAAATGTGTCGATAAGTTTATTCATCACGTATGGTTAATGCTGAGATACATTTTTCCGTTGATGTTCTGCTTGAGAGGGTTGATGCGTTTGAGGATCTGCGTCATTGTCTCGACGAGGCGGTCGCTGCTGACGCCGGTGCGCTTCGACTTGAACTTTGTCAGCAGTTCAGTGGTGGTCATGGGCTTACGCGCCAAGTACCGCCGCACTGCTTCCTCAGTCACCCCGCACTCGCTGCCAATCATACGTAAACATTTCACGTAAAATAAAATAGATGGCGCTAAAATAAAAAATGTTAAATAGTTACAGATTTCGACACCAGTGTAGAAATTATGTGCTGCCACTTTGGTGTCAGAAAAGAACTGCAGAAATACATTTAAATATATGAATAACCGTAGGTTTCCGAGACAAAAATCCCTGAATAAAATAATTGTCATCCCTATCATTGTCTTTAACAAAATAGAGATAGCAATATGTTTTAAACGGGGATTTAGGTCCCAGAAAGCTAGCAGACTACTTGTGTTACTTTAAAAAAGGACTAAATATACTCCTATTTCTCTTAACTTACATTGGTATTGGAGAGGCAATAGAAATAATTGCAAATCTATAGTATCGACTTGAATTAATTTAAATTAAAGAATCATATTGTGATTTTTTTGTGGTTTTGTATGCTTACGTATACGCTGCATCAAGTTTGACACGTTTGCTGGGTGCATGTGCGGACGCCGCATTGGCCGCCGCGACCGCCGCAGCAGCAGCGCCGCCAGCACCTGCAGCTGCACCAGGCTGCGGAGTGCCCGCACGAGATGTGCTCGCTGACCCCGGCGCTGCACATATAACACAGTGACACCATTGTGGGATCACCAAATATAATATAATAGTCCGTGCTCCCACATTGGGTGTAAAAGCTCAATATTTGTAATATAAAAATTTGTACTTATTACTTAAGTTACTATATTAATTACTTCTTACTAATATTATAAATGCGAAAGTTTAGATGGATGGATGTTTGATTTGTTTGAAGGTATCTCCAGAACGGCTTAACGGTTCCAATTAAATTTGTCATAGATGTAGGACATATTCTGAAAGAACACATAGACTACTAATTAAAACTCCGCACGGACGGAGTTGCGGGCAACAGCTAGTGTATTACTAAAATGTTGTATGGAGATTGTAATATTTATATTACTCAATACAATTACTTTTAACACTTTCAATGATACTACTTTCATATGAATATTACCAGAGGAGTTAGCCGCGGGCGGATTCTTTTCGCTGGTCTTAGTCTTCTTTGTCTTCTTGGGGGCGCTGGTCTCCGGGTCAGTGTCAGAGTCGGAACTAAAGTCGCTGCTCGACTCTGTCAAGTAAATAGTGTCGTGGTACAAATTGTCGATGTTGAGACACAGAATATTTAGCCCAAGCTATGTGATAGGCAATCTTTGATAGATGAGACATACAGACAAAACAACAATTAACATAAATATAAAAAAGTAGATCAAAGATAAAAAATTGTATAGTTTAGTTTTGTTTTTAATGTTTACCTTTTTTGCCCTCATCCCCTTTCTTCTTGGCCTTCTTGGTGAGTTTGCTGGCGCGCTCCTCGCCCTCTTTAGTGGGCTCGTCCTCCTGCTCCGACTCCTGCTTTTGTTCCTGCTCCTCCTCAGACTCCTCCTCCGATGTCAAGATTTTCCTAACAGGATAAAAAAAAATATTGTTCATTTCTAATTTACTGTTGATATTATTAAAAAAAACTAGATATTTTCAGCATTTTGATTCGACTTGAAGTAAAATATCAAGTAAATATATTAATTAGGCTGACAAAATAGATTTATTTAAGATTCGATATTTTCCCTTTCATCGAACAACCTATAAATACTTAAACTATATTTAAATTTGAATAAATATTCATTACCTGAGTCCGTCTTCCTCCGCTACACCTTTCAATTCTTTATTCGCCTTAGACTCGTGATCTGATTCACTGGAAATATAAAAATCATAACATAGTTTTCATTTGTAGGTCCGTGGTCTCTGCCTACCTCTCTCTCTCACGGGCATGAGTTTCTGTAGTTTTTAATATACTATGCTAATATCAGATAATGAAGGCCAACGGCCAATTTAAGCACCAATAGCCTAATGGTTAAGGATACGGATTTCCGATCACGAGGCCGGGGGTTCGAATCCCAACATTCGACTATTGTGGTAAACCATATCCTAGCACAAGCATAGAGCTTAGTTGGAATGGTTAAAGAAATAATAGTAAATTTACAAAAAAATCTGCTATTATTTACAAAAAAAAAATGTTTTGTTCATTGCTGTGATAAATTATTGGCCTTATTACTTTGTGCTAAAGTACATTTTTATATTTGTTTCATTACCTTTCCGATGAATCAGATATGTAGTCCCTCTCCCTTCCCTCTTCGTCACCGTCGTCACTTTCCTCGAAAGCCTCGTCATCTACTTTCCTCTTCTTCTTTGTTAGTGCAGCTATTAAAAAAAACAATTATTATTGTAAAAGAAAAAAAATAATGTGTAACTTAAATCACTTAATATATATCTCTAAATCATGCTAGTATTACAATTTTAAGAACTCAAACCTTTTTTATCCTTTTTCTTCTTAGCACCGGAGTCGCTATCGTTGTCCTTCTCGCCCTCCTCTGAGTCATCATCAGAGTCGTCCTCAGACGCCATCCACTCGTCCATCTCAGATATCTTCAGCTCTATCATTTATTTGCACATGTCAAAAAACTGGCCCACTAATGTTCACTTTACCCTAATTATCAGGGTAAAGCGCACAGTAAAAGGATATATATATGAACACTATTTGTTACAATGTTTTTTTGAAAATTGAAGCAAAAAATGCGAAAGAAATTAAAAAAAAAATCCACAATGTAACAGACGATATCAGATTTACTTAATACAAGTAAATTAAAATATTTTCAAAATTTGTAACGGAGTCTATGAGAAAAAAAGTTTGTGAATATCTGCTATAAATAACGATAGTATAATTTAAAAATGTGACCTTTCTTAGCTTTGGCTCCTTTGGGCTTCTTCTCATCAGGGTCGTCAGCATCGTCGCCACCTTCCTCCCCGCGCATGCGCTTGCGGAACATCAGCGAGAAGTAATTTATCACTTTGTTGCGTCTAAAAAACAAAAAAATTATATGCATCAACCGCACCATCATAAACCAGATACGATCAGAGAATTACATCTGGCAACACTTGGCGTTTCTTTATTTACTGACATTTTATAAGAAGTCTGTTACCATGAGTTTCTAAGACTAAAATCCCTGTTTAAAACATATTGTTATCTATGTTTTGTCAAAGATAATGACAATATGTGTTATACAGATTTTCACTTTGGAAACCCACGGTAACTGAGTTGTAAGCTTTTACTTATAATTTAATTTTTTATTTGGATAAGAACAAAAATGTATTTATAAAGATAAGAAAAAGTATAAAATTTACCTTCCAAATTCTTGTTCTGCTTCTTCAGCGGATAACGCCTTATATCTTTGTATTGGTTGGAAATTGTACCTGTGAGTTTAGGATATTTTGTTAAGAAATCAAATCCATTTTACCAATTTAAGAAAGAAAACACCTGATCTAACACTTAGGGATGAATATCAATACAAAGCAATTATAATAATCTTTAAATCATCCTTAAGGATTGTTATTGCGTTCATCAGGATAGGGTACATTTAAAATGTAAACTTACCACTCAAGCAAAGGGAATGCTTCAATAGTGTTGCCCACACCATGAGTGAACACATAGTATGCAGCATTCTCTGACACACCGCCTTCACGGATCCCTTTGAACCTGTTAAATAAAGAAAATATGAACAAACACAAACAATGATTGAGGTAACTAGGTCTGGTTATTGACTACCATTCTTACCGTTTAACCTTAGTCTCAGTAATGGTTTGGTTTTAAAATGTTTTTCATACTCAAGACTTAGGTTTACTACCATTAGTACTTTTCGAAGCTTTCTGCATCAAAATCTAACTTTATCAAAGTTTTTTAGTTACGAGATATCACATCACAGTTTTAAGGTAATAGCATATCAATGTGACAAATTAATATATCTGTAGCTTGTATATTTTGGAAATCTGCCGGTGGTTATAAGAGTATTCCACATGCAAACTTACTTTTTGCCACCAATTTTTAGGATCCAAGGCTGATCTTCAGGCTTGTACTTCCTTGATGTGATGCCAAACTTCTTGCGGCGTGCCTCTTCACGAAGATCTCGACCATACTCTGAGCCTGCACCGTACCTGATATATTTGTTGTTATATCATTTTACCTTATATATAGTTTACATTTTACTATGTAACAAGAGCTTGTATTTCTAAATCTTAGCCAATTACATGGATTCATTTTTGTATAATTACAAACCTTTCAGGACTTGATAATATTTAAAATAAATATTGCATTTTCATAAGATGTCAAGTTCACTAACATAACAAATGGATACTTCAAAAACATTGTCAACATCAAATTTGTATGAAACACATCACCTGATGATATATGTATGTATTTGTACACTATTATAATTGAGTCCATGCTCAATGAATTAAGTAAGACCTTACATTCTTACTTAGGCATTTCTTCTTCAATCCCTTTGAACTCCTTGATGTTGTTCTCACGCTCCATTTTGACATGAGTCCATTTTGCAAAGTCCACTTTGAGAGTGGCATTAAATCTCATCACATGATGTTTCTTTTTAACATTCTTTGGCACTCGTATTGTGAATTCCTGCACTGCTGCATCTTGAGACTGTAGCAAAGAATTAATGGTTACTTCTCAGCCATAATACTTATGTGCTGATTATAGTTAGTTTAGTTCTGGTGTTGTGAGGACTATAGCCTATATAAAGGTATTTATTGACATTCAATTGATTCACATAATGTATTCGAAACATGGCAACCTAAAAACTTGCCTATGTGGCGATTAATGGAAAACGAAGAGAAATTTCAACTTATATTTACCGATGATCCTCCTGGAGGGTTATTCATCATTGGTATCTATACTAGAAAATTGTAGAAATATAACTTGAAATTATGCTACAAAATTAAGTTGTCTTATGGAAAAAATTAGATAGTCTTACACTTAGGTAGGAATTAACTATAAAAAAGAAATACAACAGTCTTCTAACATAAACATTGTTTTGGATGCCCTTAATCAGATTTTTTAATGTGATTTATAGACAAACCACACGGAGACGACGCAATTAAGTTCAATTGATAATGAAGTTGATGTCAAAGTCAAATCAAATTGTCAAAGTAATTAAGGAATGACAAACGAACGGATACGGAAATATAAAATCCATTCCATTACATAATTTCTTGTACCGACTACACGCATATTTAATCATATTTAATGTTTAATATATTTTTTTAAGGTTGAGGTTTTAAATCATATAATTGTTGCACTTTTATTCCTATTTAGGGTCGTTTTATTCATTTACTTTTTGGAATGCAGATGCATTTTATTTCTGAGAAAAGTATTTTTTTAAATATCTCACTGTAAGAATGAAACGTTTTTTAACTGACAAAAGAAAATAACAATTGACATTGACAATCGTGTGTGTTCAAAACCTGTTGCAAACTATGGTTTAGGTTTTATTGTAGTAGTTTATTGGGAGTAAAAACTATGGTGGGGAACTGTTTAATCAGGTTCTATTATAAATTGGTGTTATTAATTGGTCGTAAGAGATAAGAGCTTTAAGTAAAGTCTTGACTACATTTAATTGAACTATTTTGTTTGTTATTCAAATTTAATCAGTTTTTGAACGTGTCTCTGTCAAATAGTTTACATTTTACATGTGTTGAATATAGTTAAATAGCAAAACATTGAATTATTTTCTTTAAAAAGTAACTACGAAATAAAGATAACATAAAACAGCAAAATGGGTAAAAAGAAAAACAAAAATAAAGTAAGCGGTGCTGTGAAGACCGCTGCAAAAACGGAGAAAAAGTTAGCAAATAAATTGAAAAAGGAACTCGCAAACTTGGGAGAGGTTATTCAAATTTTCAATTTTATAAATACATATAATATTCATTTGCTTATTTAGTTGGGCCTTGTTACTATCATTATATTAAAACAGTTTTATTTGTAGGAAGATATAGCTAAAGTTGTAGCACAAATAGAGCGGGAAGAGGCGAAGCGCGCTGCTGCCAGTGAGAAGAACCTACCCGGGCCTCCGAGTGCCAGAGCGTACGCCTCTCTCACGCCGCACCCCACTCTCAATGAACTTATACTGTTTGGTGGTGAATACCACAATGGACAAAAGGTATGTTATTGATAATGTAATATTTTTTAATCTATAATAGCAGGGGCTTTGGGTTCCGCAACTCCATGTCTAGCTTTTTTGGCCCTAACTTTTAATAATAGTAATTTCATATAACTTTAAAAAGACTAAAACTAAAATTTAGTCCTAACAGACCATGAGTATAGAAATATCTATTTTTTTATTATCTAGTAATGAGAATAAATAAAATAATAAAATGTTTACAGTTTAAAACACTAAATACTTGTAATTCCAGACAGAAGTTTACAATGAGCTGATATTCTACAACCCAGTGAGCAACAGCTGGCGACAGGTAAAAGCACCTGGTGCACCACCACCTCGCAGTGCCCACCAAGCTGTAGCTACTCCTGCTAATAAGTAAGTTAGGTTACTTACTGACCATGATGTCAGTTTATGCACAGCACCTCTCACTTACTATGGTTCGTGAGAAAGCCCTTTGAGCCCGTGGGAAGTCAGAAACATTTTTCTCATACAACAGTTTTTTTTTTATTATCTGTAACTTTTTTAGAGGTGAGCTATGGGTGTTTGGAGGGGAGTTCACAAGTCCATCAGAGACACAATTCTACCATTATAAGGATCTGTGGTGTTTCTCACTTGCAGAAAAGAAATGGGAAAAGGTAATTATTTTAACTTTAATTTTGTTTATTGTTATTCATTTAATGTGCAGTGTGGATTCCAGTATGAGTTTACATTTTTCCAGTAGAAATGCAGCATTTGTTTCTATCACTGGACTGGAATAATGTATATTGGATGTAATGGTAGGTTGTGGCTCCAAATGGTCCATCAGCGCGGTCAGGTCACCGCATGTCGCTAGTTGGTCGGGGACTGCTCGTGTTCGGCGGGTACTGCGATGACGGCCGGGAGTGCCGGTACCACGACGACCTGTACGCGTTCTCCCTGGATACCAGGACGTGGGAGAAGATCACACCTAATGGTAGAGGTCCTAGCCCGCGATCAGCTTGTCTCATGCTGCCTGCTGGCAATGATTCGGTGGGGTGACTAAATTTTTAAGATTATTTTATAATAATGCCTGTGTTTTACACTTTTAAGAAATAATATTTGATAGTATGTATATGTGGTATAGGTGATAATATATGGAGGATTCTCTCGCGTGCGCGATGGGAGAACAGAACGCGCATGTACGCACACGGATATGTTCCGGCTGAGCTGCAGTGCGGGCGGGACGTGGGCGTGGCGCGCGCTGGGGGGCGGAGCTCGGACGGCTCGCGCCGGCCTCGCTGCTGCCGTCAACGTACACGCCAACAGGGCTTACGTGTTCGGTGGCGTAAATGTAAGTGTATGCTTTCAAACTATGTCCACTTCGTAAAAACGTATTAAAATATAATACGTCTCATTGCAGGATGTAGAAGAGACAGAGGAGGAACTTAAAGGTGAGATGAGCGACGATTTGTCCGTACTGGACTTGGAGACAGCGCGGTGGCATAGCGTCACGCTGCGCTCAGAACAGCCACGCCCATCTGCCGTGCATAACACGCCCACGGAGGAGCCGTCTCCGGAAATTGTCACAGGTATTGGTTGTCATCGTCTATTAATCACGTGAGGTTCGAATGGGGGCAGGGTATCAGAGAAAACATCACGAGTAGGGCAGGAGGCGAAAATGAGACATCCCTTGTGATTATTACAACACTAATGACGTAAATTTGATGAATAAAATAATATTTTGAAAGTTTCAATATAACTTTGTAAAATAAACAGGTAATTTTAATTTGGAGCAGTAGTGGAAACCTCACTATTATATATCATCAGAGAGGGAGTGGGGGTCAAAAATTACAACACGAATTATCACGTGATTAATGGACATCCTTAATTTTGTGTTGCAGTGATAACAGACGAGGTGTTCACAATAAAGCTGGGCGGAGCCCCGGCGGCGGCGGGAGGGGGAGGGGGTGAGGGCGAGGGGGCGGTGCGGGAGCGCGCGGTGGGCGGGGCGGGGGGCGGGCCGAGCGCGCGCATGTCCGCCACGCTGGCCGCGCACCGCTCCGTGCTGTACGTGTACGGCGGCGTGCTGGAGAAAGACGACAAGCAGTTTTATCTGGGAGATATGTACAGCCTTGGTAAGTTCCACACAGACAGTTATTAACCTTCTTCTAAAAGAAAGTTATTTACTCTGACACAGTACGTCATACCAATTTCGTTCTTTACTATTATTACTGATAAATTTTACATTTGTACAATAGTTTAGGTGTTAATTCCGAACCTTATTAATTTTTTTTTTTATTTAATCATATTTGGTAATATTTTGATTTAAAATGGTATTTAAACTACGAAAAAATGTGACATGTCACAACTACCAATGCTTTTTGTTAAAAATAACAATTAAGAATTCAATACAGAGGATTCAATTTAAAATAAAATTTTCTACTCTTGCCTGTACCATCAAGTTATATTTAAACAAAATCTGTTTTCAGATTTACACAAGCTGAACGAGTGGAAGACGATAATCAGTCAGCCGGCATTGCCGGACTGGCTCGGCTCAGACTCCGAGGAGTACGACTCTGAGGGATCTGACGAGGAGTCTGACAGTGATGACTCTGATGAACAATAAGCCAGCGAAAGTGTCAAGTGAATAGTATTTAAGTGTCATCAAACAAAATCAAAATATTGCTAGTTTTGTTGAACCCCATTGCTGTTAAATTACTTAACTTGTGAACCCTAAACTTAATTTTTCTGCTATGGCACACCCCTGCCGGGTCTTATGTGGACCTCCAGAGGTCTAGCTGGACCATTTGTGAAAACGACCATCTATTTTTGTTTATATACATAAGTATATTATGTATATATCTATATATTTAGAACTATACCATGTTAGTTATTTTCCTTTAAAAAAAATAACAAATCTGATTATTAACTGATACTTTCTGTACCTATGTTGGTATCGCAAATTGTACATTATTAAATCTGATTTATAAATATTTTAAGGAAAATGTCGATTTTTTTACAAATAAAAATAAGAGTAACATTGCAAAAAAGTTTTTTTTTCTGAGATGTACTTTATCGATATATTTTTTTAATATATGCAAAGTTTTGCTTGTATTATCTAAAGTGGTGGGTAAAAAGAGAACTTCAATACACATTTATTTATTTATTTATTTATATACAGGATAACTACATAAGTATTAATATAATAAAATTATATTTTATAGATTTCAAGTAACATTTACGTATCTTCAAGATTTTCCACTTTTATTGTGAAAAACCAACGCTAGAGGGCGCCGCGTTGTTACGCGTTAATTACATCTTGATACCCTGTGAATTAAATAATTTTATCAAACCGTACAAAAACTAAGTTAACTAGAAATTGTTTTAAAAGAATTCCAATTTAACTAACTTCACGATTAATATGTACAAATCGACAAATTAATATTATTTGTAATCTACAAAACTGAAACAATCCATTATTTTTTTTTTGTTTGAAAAATTAAAATTAATATAAAAGTGTACGGATTTAAACCGTGAACATTTTATAAGTTGCGTGAAAAATAAACAGAGAATTTTATCACTGCATATACTAGTTTTGTTGTCAAAATTGACCTTTAGAGGTTATAATTAAGGGCATGAACAACAATTTAATCTACCGTATCAATGTTTCATTCGAATATGGTATTTGCGCGTATCCTTTTTGGTCCCGTCTCGCACAAGTTTATTTACTGCCAATGTCATTAAAATATGTATTTAAAATCATTTTCCTGCAATTGAATAAAATCACAAATATGCAATGAAATGGATTGATACGTGATTACAGAAGAAAAAAAAAGAAAATCTTTCGTTTAATTAAGAAATAATAACATTTTATTACCATATTCATATTTCACATATTAAAAAAATATCTTATAAACGTACAACAAAAATTCTCGAAGTACATTCAGTGTTGTACAAAAACTACGAAATAAATAGTATAAATCACAATCTTTGTTACCATGAATTTGTTTTTTTTTTAAGCCACGTTTGTTTTTTTTCATGTTTTGCAGCAGTGAATATATACGGCCAATATTTGCTTTTTACAAAGTTAAAGAATTTAAAAAGTTTAAATAAAAAAAGACTATTTGTATCGGTTTTTGTACATCACTGGTCTTTAGTTAAAACTGACGATTATAGAAAAATATTGTGCGTTGTGTTAAGCTACAATAGCTCTGCTAATGTTTTAGAACATTTAGCATTTAAAAAGTATACAAAAGGTATTGAAACGAATAGACATGGTGGCTTTCGCCATTTTGATGAATATATTTATATCGAAATTAGTTGGGATTAAATTATTTCGACTTTAGTATGGCATGTGAGAGTAAACTTAAGTAAAAATATACACTGGCTTAATTCAATATAATTTTAAAAATTATAATAATTTATTTAACTTTCAATGCATCGCAATTTGACTATATTTTAATCCTAATTTAATTTAATAAATGTTCATTAACGATGCATTGTAAATTAAAAATTCATTTGTAATAACTAGCAAAGTAAAGCTGAAGCCAAAATCATAATAAATGTATAAAAAGATTAAATGTAAAGCAAATACATTATTGTGTCAGTCAATAAAAACTTAGTCTGAATGAAATAAAAAATATATTTACAATAAAAGCAATTTTTGCTACGTAATATTTGATTACTGTTAAAAATTCATTTCTAAATAAAATTCAAACAAATGAGTTATAATTTTAGCTGCATTATAATTGAATAACGAATAAATGAAAAGCAAATCAGTCTCTTAAATTAAGATTAGATTTAAGAATTAATTTTATTTACAGTTTAAACACGTTTGACATTACAACTATCTGTGACTTCGCGCCAAAAATATATTTACAAAAAAAAAGTAAAAGTGACAGTTGAGGTGTCGTTCTGAAACTTAATGTTTGACAGAAATGACATCGAAGTCACACTTTCATAGATTCCCCGAACATACATACTCTGTACTTATAAAAAACATACATTCGCTATCTAATTTAATTATAATTTACAAGATATTATTTACAAAGAAGATCATTCAATAAATACACGATTTGACTGGATACCTCCTTTTAAACTTTTCCTCTCGGCGACATAACACAATGTTAAATAGTAAAATAATGTACCGTTTTTTTATTGTCAGACACTTCTGATAAGTTCTCCAGTTAGATGACACAAAACATAGAAAATACATTTCATTAGTTTTTTATAAAAGAAAACTGATCGTGCAACCGTTTAAAAAATAATAAATATATTATAGCGCAATATTTCGCATATAAAGTTTTCGATGCGTCTCGTTGGACAAATACGTATGGTTAGTGATAATCGTACAAAACACTATAATTCATTAAAAATTTCATTAGATATAAATGATATCGAAGTTTTTCTATCGATATTTAATCGATTTCACTCCTGCCAACATTCCGCAACTTGTCTCATATCACAGCAGCGCGCTATCCCGCTCACTCCCTACCGCCGCATCTGACTAGGCTGTCCCTTTCGCACGAACCCGATTTCAATGTGGCAACGTCATTATCGGATTCAGTGTTGCCAGTTTTTTAAACGTGGCGAATTGAATTACTACTATTTTAATTTTCAGGTTCTTATGTGTTTGTGAAATATTTCATGAAATTCAAGAATTTAACTGAGAACGAATAATAAAAACTTACATCAATCGGTCCCATCTCAAGATTGCGTTATTGTTATTTAAAATTAAATAAATTATTTAATTAAAACTTACACGATAACGGTTTTAAATAAATATATGCTATTGTAAAATAACTTATTTCAAAATAAATTTTCTCGTCTCAAGTGAACTTATATTTCACAACAAATAAGAGACCGGTCGGTTCTGGGGACGTTGCCAGAGAGAAGGGATCTAGAAGAGATCTGTGACGATGGTGCCGAACCAGGCGCAGACGACCGGCAGCGCGTACGTGAAGAGCGCCTTGCTGAGCGAGGGGCGTGTCGCAGCGCCCGGCACCGCCTCCTCCACTGCGGGCACCTCGTGCGGCGCCTCGCTGCTGGAGGTGGCGGGTGGAGCGCGCGCACTGCTCGTGTCCGGCTGCCGCACGCGCACCGCCCCGCCGCCCACCGCTCCGCCCGGCGCCCCGACCGGAGCCTCCGTCACCGCCACCAGCCGCGGCTCCGTCACCGCCTCCGGAGTCACCTCCTCCGTGGGCTGACTCTCCCCTGATCCTGTAATGTTTATTGCAGCTGTAGATTTAATGCCTTTATAAAAAGTTTTATTTGTATGTTGTCCGATAGCTGGCTCTAGGAGTCGTCGTACCTTCGGGGTAGTCGAGGTTGGAGTCTCGGTCCTCGTCATCGTCGGGCAGTTCGTCATCGCCGTCGTCGCCGGAGCCCGAGCCGGACCCCGCCACGGCCACCAAGTCTAGTCCCGAAGCCGCAGCCGCCGTCTCCTGCAGCTTATCTGTGGACGATGCATCATAAATTCATTTTTTTTTAAGTTGATTTCGATGTTGAGAAATTACACTGCTAAATAAGTATAAGTTACCTTCATCCTTCCACTGCACCTCGACACCGTTGTAGGCGTCCTTGAGTCGTGCGGTGAGCGCCCGCAGCGCGTCTGCCTGCGCGCGCGCCGCCGGGCCCGCGGAGCCCGCACTCCGCACCTCAGGGTTGGAGGCTAGCGCGGCCGAGCCGTCGCCCGCTGTGCTACTCGTGTAGCTGTAACATACATTTGCTTTGCTTAAATAATGATAGTAAAACATTCTAATGCCGATTTGTCTTTAAATCATTAAGATCCTGCTTGAATGACCATCAATTTTTGTTTTCATGTGAACAGTGCGATACCTGGCGAGTGCGGAGCCGTTGTAGCAGGGCGCGGTGGTGACGCTGAGCGGTGCGCAGAGCGCGGCCGGCAGCTGCGCCCAGTACCGCCGCGAGCCTCGCACGCGCGCCCTCGTCTCCCGCATCAGCCGCTCCAGCACTGGACTGCCCCACTCCGCACCTGACAAATAATCACAGTAATCGATCAGTAACAGAAATATAAAAATAGGTTAGAGGAGGGGATGACTCCCTTAATCTAGTATTGTCAGTATTGCGGTAACTCTGACATGCTTAAGTTAATAAAGGAAGGGAGGGATTGTTTTATCTCTATTGTTGTAAACAGTAGCGTGTGGGAACGTACGTAATGAGCTAGTAATTACAGCGAGTCGTTACAAAAGCGGTGCAGGCTGCTCGCTCGCTGCACTGATTGCGAACTGCATTGACGATCAAAAGCTTCCCTTTAAAAGCTATTTGTATTTTATTGTCGTAATCAACTACTGATTATAATTATTTATTGTTTTTCTCTTTTTATTAAATTGCTTTATGTGTATAATTTTTAATGTATCCTCTTCGGTGTCAGTTTATTGGTTACCTGACTCACCGTGTACATCATCAGATTTGGTGGCGATGGGCTTCTTCTTCTTAGAGCCGCGTTTGCCTTCGAAGTCGAAGGGCTTCATGTAGATATCTCCGCCCGCAGCGTCGGGCCCCGCCTCGCGCCGCCGCCGCTCGTGCTCCTCGTACTCCTCCAGGTCTATGTGTCCTCTCATGTACTGGAGGAAGCGTTCTCGAGATTTGGCCTGCTCGCCCATCTCCTCCGCCGCCTTCCTGATGCTCTCGGGACTCTGGAGGCTTACAAGCGAAGGGTCGTTGTTGACTAAACTCTCGAAGGACGCCTCTATCTCGAAGTCGTCAACGTCGTTGGCCTTCTGGTTCCAGTCAAAATCCGGAATGGAGCGGGCGAAACGCCGCGACCTGTCCGGGGCGAAGAACGGTCCCGCACCGCCGTCGCCACCCAGGTTGGGCTTCCCGCAGCCCGCGAAGATCTTCTGCGATATCTCCTGGTTGTGCTCCTGGAAGCTCATGATCGCCTCAGATATCTTTATGTCGATGGGCTCCACCACCATCGCTATGTTGAAGGGCCCTTGTAGACGATCGGCAACCTTCTCTACGGAATCTAAAATGAAAATAACCTAGATGTTAATAATGGTAAAAGTCTTTAATCCTGGTGATGTAAGAACCTGGAAATTCACTACTGAATGTCGTATATTATGTAATTCTAAAAAATTATGGGAGCAGTTAGGCCATTCAGCAGTCATGAGACAATCAATTTACAAGTGTTTTGTATCAACTGACCAACGTAAGCGTCCCAGAGGTCGGCGAGGTCTGCGTGCGCGTGCAGACAGCCGCGCAGCACGTTGTGGCAGTAACGCGAGCATGCAGGCGCTGTAACACCGCCGCACGCGCCGCACCACCGCAGCCGCGCCCACGCCGCGCCGCACTCGCTGCTCAGCTCCACCTGACCACACCACGACACGTCACTTTAACCTCATGCAAATTTTACTTTGTTATTATTAAACGCATAAAAGTAGTACAGAGAAAGGTGAAAAAATCTTGGTAATTTCAGTTATCGTTATTAATATATTGCTAATAACGCTGTCAAAAATTACGAGGATTTCATTTAATTACGTTGATAGAATGATAATTGCAGACAATGTAATTAGTGTGAAGACAGCATGCCAATGTGTTAAAAAATATCTTTATGGGGTTTGACAGATTGAGGTTGGTTTTACCAAAGTATTTCCCGCGTAAACTGATAAACACGTCTTGCTACCAACATTTAACACATTCGTTGTTGCGATGTTATTTCAAGGTTTTTCTAAACCGAGAATTTTAAATTAGCACAAAATTTTCGTCAGCGATTTAGCGTGTAATTAGTGCTCGTATCTTTTGAGTGTATACTGAAATTTGTTTGTGGAAATACTAAACGATAATAGTAATAATACTGTAAAAATATGCGTAAACTTTAATAACTCATAGATAGCATAATAATAGACTAGGCATATATTACCTACACCTACTTTTTTCTAGAATTCAAAATTACACGAATTGAAAATTGCTTACATAACAAGCTGTTTAATATTATGTCGAAAAAGAATATAACCTCTTTAAGACTGTCTCGTCTCCCGTAAAAGTACAGCGTACCAATAGAATAGTAAAAAAGTACTAAATCTAATATCAGAGCAATAAAAATAATCTGACACAATACATATCGTAAGATCCAGTAGGGCTACTAAATAACGAATAAATAATATAGTCTTATTTTGACAAAAAATCGTTATTGCGTAATAATTAATTGAATGTTTTGTAGATAACCTTTAGCATTATTCTAAGAAATAAACGCACTACGAAAATCGACGTCTACGCACGAAATGATAACAATTGTTAACATAATTTGTACTAAGCCTGTTATAATATAACGAAAAATTAATACGTTTGTAAGCAATATACGTAGCCTCATAATAATGTAGTATGTACATGTTATTTGTAAACGAACTGGCAACCCTATTTATGACTACGTACTATTTAAAATAAGGTGACGTCAGACTTCAGTCGCGAATTTAAATGACAATAATCACGTCCACATCAAAGATAATTCGGCAATATAATTCCGAGAAGCGCACATGTATCTGTTGTGCTCGCTGTAATTAAATTAATAATTGCGGATTGTGTGTCATCCGGGCGCCAAGCGACAACCGGGATGTAAGGACGTTGAGTCAGTGATGGCTGGCGCATAGTAATAAGCGGAGCGATTAACGCAGCGGTCAGTATGGCCAAAGCACTTATTTATATAGAAAGCGCGAAATAAGTTGCTGTTTGGGAAAAAGCTTTGGTATCGTAACGACTGTATCCAATCGAATCTTGGCCATCGCTGTTAATTTGAAATATAGGTACAACATATAGTATACTAGCTGTAGCCCGCCACTCTGTGCGCAGAATTAAAAAAATAGTGAGTAGCCTATGTGTTCTTCCAGACTATGTATACCATATTCTATACCAAATTTCATCAAGATCCGTTGAAGTCCATCCATCTAAACATTCGCATTTATAATGTTAGTAAAATAGTAAGATTTTTCGATTACCACAAAGATACAACCCGCTTCATCTTATTTATCAGACTATAACAAAATAAAACATAGTGCCCGAAGCGTATTTTTAGCCAGGTTCGGTGCCGTCTTGAATATTGATATTCGTTTTATAAAACTCTGTGCTGCCAAAATTTGCATGAGACAATGTGTCGGCCAGCGCGGCGCCGCTGTCAATTGTTATCGATCGTAGGAAGCTATGGTGCAG